ACGCAGCTTTTGTTTGTTTCGTGAACAACAAAAAAACACGTCTATACGCAAAGAACCGTTAGCAGCGACTGTGACGACTGAGCTCCAAGAGGGTTTCCATATATTATGTTACGTGCATTACACAAAGAGAGTGAGAGAGAGCGACTAAGTGGGGGCACAACAGGGCAGCGAGACAGAGAAAGCAACATGGAGAGGGAGAGCGCGAAAGAGCGGAGTGGACGCCAAGCAACCAAACAAAACAACAACATGTAAAATATTGGAAGTTGTTCGTACCGTACCTCTCTCCCTCCCTCGCCCAGCGCTTTTACAAGATAACTGTAAATGTGTAGGCATTTCATTCATGCCAGAAAGAGAGCAGCCGAACAAAGAGAGTAGCCAGAGCGAGAGCGACGCACGCACTGCAAGTTTAAGGTTTACCCTGCCCAAAGAGGGTATTCATATTTGCAGAAGCGGTTTGTAGTGGAGCGAAGAAAACAGTTCGGACAATGAACAGATCGAGTGACGGAGTATATGGAATATGGAATTTTGCCTCGAAGGATCATTAAGTTAAATGTTCTCAAATTGGGATGACGTATTATAGAAACGATCGACTTATTCCCATATTATATGAAAGATCAAATTGCAAGAGTATTTGTAGCTTCGTTCCTCGAAGCTAACGGTCCGCTGTTGTTTCTGTCTGTTTTCTCATTTCTTCTGCATCTGCACCTTCGTCTTCTGTGTGGGGCTACGTGTGCGTAGTAAGAAAGAAGAAAGCATTTCCACCTCTCTGCCAACTCCCCCAACTCCAGAGTATCTTTTGGGGCAGCCAGCATTTTACATTTATCGAATATGCAAAGTGGCTTTGGTGGGGCCTGTCTCGGGCGGAGGCACCGTACCGGGGGCAAGCGATGCGTGTGTGGATTGTATCTCGGTCTTGGATGTGACTCAACTGCAAGCGATGCAAGTCGTTGACGTTGAACGTTGTTGCACTGCTGTTGTTGTTGTTGTTGCTGCTGTGGTTGTTGCTGTGGTTGCTGTTGCAGTGACTGCATTTTGAAGTGCATTCAAAAGTTTATTGTCTGCCTTTTTATGGGTTTATTAACTTTGCTTTGGTTTGGCATTTTGCGTTCAACCCATAGGCCAAGTGAATGTTAAAAAGGGGGCCGGGGACTGTGATTGCGACTAGGCATGCTCTTACCGCTGATTGGTATTTTATGAGTGAAATACATTTCTTTCTCATTTTTCAATAAGCATTAAAGGTGTTTTATAGGCCTTTGTAAGCTGGGATGGGATGCTTAAACCAATTAAATTTCTTCCATAAATTAGCTTTTATTCCGACTAATTTTTCTCTCTAATTATACCCTTGCAAATGGATCTGTTTTTTATTCACATTCTACCATATTTTCAGTTTTTTACAACACAGTTTCTCAACTCAAAACTCAACCCAATCTGCTGATACCTCGAAATTCCCATAGCCAAGTTCTATTCCACGATTCTAGTTCAAGCTTTCACTGCAGTGGTTCTCCTGCTGTGCGGCTGTTTTTGACCAATTTTACAGCAATTTAATTTAGTTTCCGTTCTTTGAGGGGTTCAACAACCCGTTAGACCACATTTGTGGCAGCCATTCAATTAACTAAACAATTTTATGGTAGTTTGAGGCTGATTCCTCGCCTCATCATTGTTCAATTTGCTTTCGGTTTGTTTTTATTTGCATCTAGTATTTGTTAGTCATTTGCCGGCATCAATGAGATGAGCGCCGAATGACTAATACAACCCACAATAGGAGTCACCTAGTGCTAGCTCTATCTTTATCGGTATATTATGTGCTCTCTCTCCCTCTCTCAGCCATTGATGATGTGACTTGATGCTTAAATGGTGATAAGTTTGACCAGCAAGCTTTTGATACCCTGCCCTTGCGGAGTGCCAGGGTGTACTGTGTGGGAGAATGTGTACGAAAAGGAAACCTGTAATCAAATGCATACAATCAAGTGCATACAGCGTAAATCTACAAGAGGGAATCTACCGACTATACTAACTATATGCCAATAGTTCTATATATTTCGAAATAAACATAATTAAATAATAAAAACTCAAAAATTGTATTCTCCAGGGTATTGGAGAAATCTGTGAAAATTTGGTGAAATGCAAAATAAATGCTGATATTTCTAATTCTTCATTGTTAGAGTATTTTCTGAATCCTGCGTGCCATATCTCATGGAAATTTCTCTCCAACTAATGGATATCTTGTGGTCGTAATTCTTTGCTTTACTCAACCCACTGTCTTAAGTATATTTTATTTTATTCGTTGGTTTTTATCTAGGCGAACTTATAGCCCCACCACAGAATGCACTGAGAATATCTATTGTACTGACTATCGGAGTCTTTGTCGTTGCTGGTCACCTTATCTATAGGAACGTATTCCACATGATTGATAATGTCCGACTTCCTTTCACGTAAGCCAAATGAACTTTTAATTCCTGTAACCAACCGAAGGGAGAGAGAGTGAGAGGGGCAACGCGTCATCGGGTTCCTATACACAATTTCCGATGAGTAATGCAGAACGGAAGTAACAGAGGAACTTACAGAGGTGCAACCTGTCCCTGTCTAGAAAAGGAGAGGAATAGTGACAGAGAGAGAGAGAGAGAGAGAGAGAGCGGGGAATGGTATGCATGAAAGGGAGCGCAGCAAGTGCAACAAAAACGTTGCGGCTGGCTGAACGCATTTGCACAGTTGAAGTTGCAGTTTATTGGCCACAGAAATCGGCATAGATGTTGTGGATCGGATGTGGCAATTAGGCACTGAACAGCAACACAACAACAACAACAAAAAAGAAGGCACAGTCCTCCACAAAACGCAAGAAAGCGTGCAACAAGCAGAAGAAGTGGCAAAAGCAGTTGGCAGCAGAATTTTCACGTTCGTTGGGGTTTTCAAACAGCAATCTTTACACATGGCTGATCTGAGGACTGTATCTCCACTCTGTATCTGCGCTCTGCCAATCCATAGTGTTCCCCCCAAAGAATAGCGAAAATATCTCGTGAACATAGCCAAGAACCCAATCTCTTTTGGCCAGAACCCGCTGCCTTGATACTGCCTCGCTGTGTTTTTTCCCTCTTGTATGTTTTCTTTGTGTACTCCGCGCACTGGTATATGGCACTGCTAGCATGGCTATAGCTGAGTGTGTGTGTGTGTGTGTGTTTGGTAACACTTTTTGGCCAAGCCAGCACCAACACAACCTCACTTTTGGGAAGCTTTTAACGCTTTTTCACATATCTGCACATGATATTTTCTTCAATTTGTTGAAAATGCATCAACTTGATTCACTTTTATTTCATTATTTTGTATTTTTCTTCACAATTTTAATCGGTCTGGTGGGATTTATGAAACGACGCTATTCGCTTTGGCGTTTAAGGCGCGGTCAGCAGCGATCTTTAGCGCACACTCACTTACACTTACACAAAGCTCGAGTGCACGTATACGTGACAGACTACTACAATGAAAAGCACCGTTGAGATCAATATGTCCAGAGCGCACACGTCTTCTCGGCCGCGCCGTCGTACACCTTTTGAATTGGGGCTGCTGACTGGGAGAGCTTGGCAGAGCTGTGTGGAGCGGCGCTGAGCACGCTGAGTCGCCCTGAGAGACGACGCCGCCGTATGCCAGAGAAGCTTTCGTACGGCCAGAGCGCAAAATGCTAATGGCTTTGAGGTGAGAGAGGTTTCTGGCGTTGCTCTCGAGTTACCTTGGCCGAAATGTCATCAGTGGCAACCGCAGTGGCAGCAACAGCAACCAGTAACCAACAGCTTTTAGCGGGATACGTTACAGGGCCTGTTGCTCATTAACATTCGTGGGCGCTGCTTTCCGACTTAATTATTTTGCCCAGGATCTTATGCTGAAGACACATATAAGCACAAGCACTACACCCATTAAAAATCACTTTGGGTAAAAGAAAGTACTCAAATTCAATCAATAAAAGTAGCAGTAGTAATTTTGATGTTCTCCTTTTAAACTGATTGCAACGGATTGCAATTTTTAAATATTAAAGTCGATTTCGATAACAGCAGTTTGGGTATGCAGTGGCGCCATAGCGTTTGATTTTGGAACTCCGTAAATTATCTGAAGTTGTTGCATACTTTTGGGCGGCTATGTCATCATTAGCAGTCCTCCTTTTTAGATTGTCGAATATATTGATGGAACGAAAAATGTTTTCAGGATTTGGAAACTGTTTATAAACTGCTATAACAATAAAAATAAAAATAATAATACAATAAAATTGTCAGAAATATATTCTGCTTAAAAATGCAGCCCCATAAAATGTCTGCCAGGAACTTTAAACTTTATTTTAGCTTTCGGCAATTAGCAAATGTTCTCACACTTTTGCCGCAGGGGAGATTTCTGCAATCAAATCACGTGCCCCTCATGGACCCCGTATGATATCATCTGCCGCAGAAGAGAAACTTGGAATTATTTTATAGTTGAACCAGAAATTGATGTCATCAGAGTGTAGAGCGGGCGGCCATCATCAGGGGCACTGGCACGGGCAGGGGGTACGGTACGGGCACAGGCACCCATCAGATTTCCAGGAAATCCACATTGCAACTTCATTTTGTTTTGAATGACGATGACGACAATTTACGTGGCATTTTAATTGAACTTTCTACGTGTTTGAGTGGCGTACTTGTGTGTTGTGTGCTTGCCTCCTCCCTTGCCATGCCTTGCCTTGCCTTGCCTTGGAATCAAATCGATTCGACAGCGGAGAGTCCAATGTTAAAGGCGTTGCCACAAAAACCGCAAACTGTCGTGTCTAGAGGGGCAGATGGGGACCAAGGGACGGGAAAGACCTATGCGAAAACGTGCCTGAAGTATTATTAGTTTTATGAAGTCTGATGTGTGGCTGCGGACGGTGATTGATGGCCGGCCTCTATGCGCGTGTACGCGCTGCTTGTGATGACTCACCAGATCCCCGAGTCCCGATAAAAAACACTGAACACTGATAAACCAACCCAGAGATCTGTATAAACTTGTATAATAGGCAAACTTTATTTGAAATAGTTTGAATAAAATCATTTAAAATTCAAGGAAGACCATGGAATGGAATGCTATGGATACGCTAAGGCTACTACAAAAAATCCTTACGATCGAAGCTTAAATTCTAAACTAAATCTAGACAAAAATACTCAACTGGAATTTTGTTTAGTTTTTTGTTTGTTTTTGATTTTTCACTTAGCCAACTTTTACTTTCAACCATTTTTTTCCCTACAGCAAAATCGCCTAACGATTTCGTTCACATCTTCATTTTATCTTCACTCATTAAGATTAATCTTAGACACTAAAAAGAAACATAAATTAAGGGTTGGAATTCACTCGCTTGGAAAGGAAATACAAATACAGCAAACACTTAGTGTTGGCCGAAATCGATTACTAATCGATAGACTCTCGCACTAAATCGTAGCTTAATCGACGTATATATGTATATATATAGATATTTATGCTGGGATCCTACTTGTCTATAAAATGCAACAACAGTTAGTTAAGCACTACGTTTAGCTCTTAGTCTAGTGGGGTTTATTGTACTAAAATGTACTAAAAAGTGCACTTGTCTCTAAAATAGCGTTCAGGGGTGTAGGACTCCCCTGGAATCCATGGGAACAATCTTGTCATAGTGTACTAAATCCTTCTTCGGCGATATCAGCGTCGCATGATATCCTCAATGCTGAAGCCCGTGCGTCTGGGAGCCGGGGGCGGTGCAACTGGCGGTGGCGCCTGCGCTGCAGGTGGACCCTTCTCTGTGGCTGCGCCGCTCGTCTCCGTGCTCGGTGGCTTGCCCAGCAGCTGGCGTGGCGGATGCCGCGACATGTTCAGGGCATAGATGCTCTGATTCTCCAGATACGCCCGCTGATGATGGTGATGCTGATGATGGTGATGATGGTCCATCAGATCGATCGTCGGCGGCGGCAGGATCCTCTTGCGCATCGGAATGGAGCCCAAAAAGCTGGGCATTGCCTCGTGGGGCGAGTGCAGCGGCTGATTGGGTGGCTTACTCGTCTCCGGTGGTTGGGTTACGATCGTGGGCGGTGTGGGTGGGGGTGCTGGTGCGCCCTTGCTCAGGTTGAGGCTCTTGTGGTGCAGATCCCGACGCACATGGAGTATCGGCAGATAGGGATCTCCGTTGGGTGGCAGGAGATGGGGATGTGGCTGGTGGTGCGGTGGGGGCGGGACAACAGGTGGCCCTCCCACTGGTGGTGCGCCTCCTGGCGCTGCATACCTCAGAGTGGCCACAAAACCAGGTGGCGGTGGCCCATTGGGATTGGGAGGCATGGACAATGGCTCTTCCTGCTGTCTTTCGCCATGCGGTCGCATGGTGTAGGTTTCTCCGCCCTCATGGTGGCAGTGGGTGACGCCCTGGCGCTCCGGCTTTCCAGTCGCAGCAGTGGCAGCAGCCGGAGCTGCTGATGATTGTCGTGGTGCCGCAGGAGCTACCTCTTGCTGCACCTCATCCTCGGCCTCAAAGTCGTCGTCCTCCTCCCGGAGTTCTTCCCTTGGAAAGCTGCCAGCTGCCTCTTGCAGCTCCTCCTCCTCATCGTAGTCATCGAACTCCTCTTCGCTCTCCTCCTGATCGATGGGAGCCTTCCGCTTCAGGCGCATGCGCTCCGCCTCATCCTTTTCGCCGTTTGCTGCTGATTCGCTCAGGTTGTGGACAGGACTCTGCCGCGGGGAGTCCACCTCCAGCAGGGAGTCCTCTTCGTCCCCACTCAGGTGACGGGCCTCATCCTCCTCGCCGACGTCCACGTAGTCGCCGGAGCTAACTTCGCCCACGGCATGGGTCAGGGCGTGTCGCCTCAGATCGCAGTTGCGGCGAAAGACCTTGCCACAGGAGGAGCACTCGTAGGGCTTGTGATCCGTGTGGGTCAGCAGATGGGTCTTCAGATTGGAGCGCTGATTGAAGCTCCTGCTGCACACGGGACACTTGTGGGGCGACTCCTCCATGTGCAGGATCTTGTGCACCGCCAGAGTGCGCGACTGGCAGAAGCCCTTGCCGCATTCGGTGCACTTGAATGGCTTCTCCTTGGAGTGGATGTACCTGGAAGGAAAGAGAAGACAACACAAAAGGTGAGACATGGAATTGCAGGAAAGGAATGCGTGGGCGTGTGGCTTGTGGCGGCTACCAAGCCCCAAGTTGGTAGCTCCATTTGACAGTTATCTCTGCTCTGGCAACTGCAGTGCTCTCCCACTGATATTATTGTGTATTTTTTTTATGTTTATGGCCGCCATCTTGGCAATGGCGTCCACTTGTTGTTGGACATAAGCCCCCAGTCCACAGTCCCCAGTACCCAGTCCCCAGTACCCAGTCGCTGTCCCCAGCCCCAGCCTCAACCTAAACCCCAGCATCAGCCAGCAGCAGCTGCTGTGGCTGTTGCTGCTTCAGAGACCGAAACAAAACAGGTTCTCTCCGATCTGCTGGGGTCTCCAGATTCTTCTCGTTTCTGCTGCGGCTGCTGCTGCTGCCTGCCTGCTGCCTGCCTGCCTGCCTGTCTCTTCTGCTTTGATGCTCGACGCGGAGACCGAAAGAGGAATTAGCCCCGCGGCAGAAAGCAAACAAACGACAAATGGACCGATACCGAACGATCAAAAGACAGAACGCTCCGCTCGGACAGGCCGACACTTGAGTCTCTCAGACCTGCCTAAATCCATCCTCCCTCCTACTCCTACTTTTACTCCTACTCCCCTACTTGGCCACGAATGCGACGCTGGTCGAAACCCCAAACGGAAAACCAACAAAGTTAATTAACTTTGCTCGCCGTATGGAGATCCAGCGTCAAGTGTGGTACTCTCGCACTCTCGGACAGAGATGGAGATACTCTCTGCTGGCTTATTAGGTCTGTTTGTAAATACGAGATCTTGTAACTTGTCCTTGGAATGGAATTTCTATTAATTGGAAGTTAAATTTAAATGGAAAAACCTTGAGATAATTATCTTCTAGTCGGTCTAAGGAACACTTTACAATAGAATATGGAAGAATTCCCAAACTACTGCCACTTAAAAATATCTCTCCAAAAGAGTATTTTCCCATTCTATCATTAGCCTTTGCTTATTCCTCTCTAAGAACCTCCACCATCAGATTCGTTCTCCGCCGACTCTGCCTCGTGTGATGATGCCACCTTAGGGTATTCCCACATTCGACCAGCACCCCAACCCCAGTACTGAAACCATTATTTCTGTGGGCATGACAGCAATTACCAATGCAGACACTCCCCATGGTCCCTCTGCTTGGGTCTTCTGTTACGCCTGTACTCTGTACTCTGTACTCTTCTCGCTCACCTGTGATCCCTCAAGTGATCCTGTCGCCGGAACGCCTTGCCGCAAATATCACAGGAGTAGGGTCGCTCGTCGGTGTGCGTCCGTTCGTGGATCAGCAGATTGTACGACTTGGTGAACTGTCGATTGCAGAACTTGCAGATGAACTGCTTCTTGGGCCTCGAGGCGCGTCCGGGTGCACGCAACAGACGACGATCCAGTCCGGCATGCATGCCCGGTCCGAGACCGGGCGGAAAGAGTCCTGCTGCGGCGGCTCCGGGGGGGAATGGAAAGCTGCCCGGACCCGTGGGCGAGGGGCCCGGCCCTGTTAAATATGGCGGTGGTGGTGGGGGTGCGTACAGGACACCGGGTGGCGGTGGACCGCCCGGCGGGCCGCCACGTCCAAGCATGGCAGCAGCAGCGGCCGCCTCCCTCAGGGCCAGCTCCTTCCGCTTGTCGGCCATCATGGCAATGATCTCGTAGTTGGAGTTGCTGCCGGCCCGCGCCTTGGCCTCCAGTGCCTGTCGCGTGGGCAGCACGGGCACAAAGGCAGAGATCTCGCGATGGTGGGGCGGTGGACCGGGATGCAGTCCAGCGGCGGCCAGGTGCTGCTGGTAGGCCAATTGTGTTTCGTAGGCGGCTGCTGCCGCCGAGATCCTGCTGGCCGATGAGCTCCTCGAGTCGCCGCCTCCACTGTTGGACCCATCCGCGCCGCCACCGCCAGCTGCTGCCGCTGCAGCAGCCACCGTGGACATGAACTGGTCCATGCGTGAGGGTCGTAGCATGGGAATGGCGCCGCCTCCTCCTCCTCCTCCGCCGCCGGCGACATCGCTGGATGAGCTTTCCGTGGGCATAATGGAGGCTTTTCACATTCCGTTAGAACTGCAAGACAGATAGAGATTGGGGGGCTGAGTGAGTGGGTGGTAAATAACAATTAGTAAAAACTTTGTGCCGTGTTAATTGTCGCAGACCCTCTCGATGCGAGTGGGAATGGGAATCGGAATGGGAATGGGAATGGAATGGGGGGCTTATCTTAATTACGGTTCAAGTGCAATAAACAGCTATTTTCCGTTGTATTTTTATGGGGCACAGGGTACACCGGAGCATGACAAGCACAGGGGGAATCGCAGTTGGTCTTCCATGGTTATTTTGGGAGTGTTTTATGGGGCTTAGCCCAGCGTAACTCGGCTTCTGTGGGAGCTAGAGTGCTGAATTTTGTTATTTGAGTGTCATTATGGCCAAGAAAACAAACTGGTTATGTTCTGCATGGATATCCCTTGAAACGTATTTACTGTTCGAAAATTAACTCTGCTTCTGTTTAATTTAGAGTACTAAAAATGGCTATCACAGTTTTTTAATGCATCGCAAATCGATTTATTTATATTCTGCTTGTATATTGGCCCATTTAGCCATACTAGAACCAAGTAACTCGACTCCTGGAGTAGCTGCATTGCCTAAATTGAGTTCTATGGCTAATTAGGTGAGTAAACATTCCATTTGTTTAATTTGCTTATAGTATCCTTCAAGTTATCCATCATAAGCCGCAACTAGCTCGTCTCCCCTATGCCCTGCAGGGCTTTAAGTTTATTATCTGTACATCTTGTTGCCTTGATTATTCACAAAACTCATTAAAGACTCTGTCTTATCACATCCCACTGTAACTCAGATTTTATACGATTTAAGATCCTCAAATTTGTTTTTTGCACTTCTTATCATGCAATTAAATATCATGAGATATATACAAATTTTGTATCTTTAATGTAACTTTGGGCACACACTTGACACGTCTGAAAATTAATACTAGATCACTGAATCGTTTTTTACACGATAGTTCATTTTTAGGAATCATTACCCATATGTGTTCTATGCTGCAGAATCTATTTTTGTTTTACAGGGTAAGTAAATATTTCATCACACTCGAGTTACGCGTGGGCTGTTGTACTTGGATATTAGTGTTGCTTTTTTTTTTGTTGTTCATATGAATTTTGTTGAAGTTAAATTATTATCAGGAACGGCAGCGGCAAGCGGCAAGCGGCGACGGCAACGTCGATGGCGAGTGAAACTAAACTGAAAACGAGTCGCAGTTGTCGGTGCTGCTGGCAGGTTAGATAAGATTGTGCGCCTAAAAAAACCTGACTACCTCTATAGAGGAGAGGCAGCAGCACAGTAGTAATCATATAAACACTCACACACACACACACCCTGCGAGAGAGAGAGAGAGAGGGAGAGCGAGAGAGAGGGGCACACACAAATACTACACAAATGCAGATACCACAGAGGCTCACACACAGATACAAAGATAGAAAAAAAAGTGTAGTCGCGGCGGCCAAGTTGCCGTCCCGTCCGCTTTGGTAAATGACTCCGAACCACCTCGACCGACTGCTTACTGGATTTACGCAACAGGAGCGACTTCTGAGTGCCATGCCGCAGCAGCAGCAGCAGCAGCAGCAGCAGAGAAGCAGCAGCAGTGGAGAAGGAGGTGAAGGAGAGTGGAGCAGCAGCAGCAGCAGCAGCTGGCGGCAGAGGGAGCACTGGGAAACGTGATCATCACGATAATAACAAAATAATGCAGATAATCATGATCATTATGATGGCCAAACCATAAAATTTGTTGCCCGCTTTTATACCCTCCCCATCGCCGCCGTCAGACTCTTTAGGCCTTAATACTCTTACAGTCAGGGTAGTAATACTTGTTGGAGATGTTGCTGAGACCATACTCTGACTGAAAGTTGCAGCTAAAAGGAACTAAAATCGTTTTGCTGTGATATATTTCCCGTATAAACAATCTTCCACTCAAAATTCATATTGTATCCATAGGGTATTTAAATATTTGCTGCCCAATACTTGGGCTTCGTTTCTTGTCTCCGTCTGCCGTTTTGTTTAAGCCTCATTTAAATATATAACCAGTTGCGCAAAAGCACGGGGAATGACTCTTCTACTTGGTGCCTCCACCATCTTTGGGGTCTGTGTGCAATGACAGTTTTGCTTATCATTTGCCAGAATCATTCTCTGTCTGGCAGAGTGGATCGTAATGCAAAATGCTGCAGCGTCATGATGCCCAACATGCACAGCCACCACCTCAAGCCAAACCTCCGAGCAGTGATCATCTTAGGTAACCTCCGTCCACAGTGATCGTCAGAGTTGATCGTCATGGGCTCCTCCACAGATTAGATTTCCTATAGCTTAGGCTCCGCCCCAGCTTCAGATCTCTTGGGACAGTTGAAGAGGCGCCCCATTGTCGGAGATACCGTTTCTTTTGGGCGGTGACTAGCCATGGAATTGTTGCCTTTCTTGGGGCGATGGGGGTCTTATCTATAGAAATGATTTTTGGCATTGTCTGACTGAAGAGTGCGCTGTCAGATTAGCCCTATAAAGTAGTTGACATCATGACTGGGATAAGTACAATTTATTCCTATTCTTGTTAATGGCTTTATCAGAAAAATTACTGGTTGAACTAGATATTGGGACTAGAGGAGTGTCTTAGGAGGGAATTAAGGTAATTTATTGGAATAATTTGAGCCAAATTCAATCAAAGTATTAGCAATTATCTCTTTTATCTGTATAGATATATCGCCATGCTATTTATTCGTCATTTCCAATATCATGAGCACATTCCTAACTAATCCCAACTATATATGTTATTAATTAACTAATTCATTTAGGGTTTGATTAATGGAACCAATAACCAATATTCCCTCTGCGCTGTAATCTCTGGCCTTCTATCTCCATAGATTGAATTTCATAAAAAACTTATCTGATCTCTTTATTATCCAATAAATCCCCCACCCCCCCACACACACACACAAAATGCTGATCTAATCAGCGCGGATTCCCCCCGATAATAGATGAGCGATGGCCCATAATATCTCAGGGCGATTACGTTCCGTTCCCGATAATCTCACGTAGCATTTCTGGTAGCCTCGAAAACCTCGAAAATGTGTAACCCGTTTTGGGGGTTTTTTTTCCACAGTACTTTTTCTAGGTATCTCACTTTTGCATTTATGACTGTCGTCTGACCGACGTCCGTCTTTACTACCGATACTCCCCCCCCACCACCACCACCCCATCAGACAGCACACTGTGTGTGTGTGTGTGTGTGTGTGTGTGTGTGTACATACAATGTACGATTTCCAGCGTTCATTATCTTTTTGAAACATCGGCACTTTTGAAAAACGTCAAGCCAAATAAGAAAAACAAATAAAATTAATGTAAATAATGGACATCATCAGCAAAAGCGACGGCACGTAGTGAGAGACAGAGCGAGAGCGAGAGCGAGGGAGAGAGAGTTACAGATACATCCATAGAGATACAAAGATACACTGAGACATACTGAGATATACAGAGGGCCCAGACCCAGAAACGTTTGCGCAAACGGTTGCGTTGCCCACCAAATGAAGCCAAAGGCTTAAAAATGTATTTTTGTGTGTATGGGAGAAGAGTATCTGAGGGCAGGGTACGGTACGGTACGGTACGGTACGGTACGCGGGTATATGCACACATATAATAAAAACCCGCCAGAAGACCCAACTACTGCTGGAGGAAAATAAAAGATATCGAGGAGCAATTTGGCTGCCACTTTTTGTTCCCCTCTTTCTTTCTGTTGGTGCTGCTGCTGGTGGTGCTGCTGCTGCTGCCTCTGCTGCTTCTGCTGCCTCACTCTGTGGGCTCTGGGTCTGGTCTCTGGGTCCGGGATCGAGTCGTTTGCTGGGTTTTTGTGTAAACACACATCGGAGGCCAGACCCCGAGCCAGGCCAGAGCCCAGTGGAAAGGTTTCTTGGTTGATAAAAAAAAGCAGAAAAATATACAAACACACACACACACACACACTCTCAGCCACTCAGGCACTCTGGCACATACACACACACGTATGGACACTGCGCAAACGGATTTGATGTTTGTATAGAAAACCCAGAGAGAGTGTGTAAGGGCCAGCGGAGGAGGAGTAGGAGGAGGAGGAGGAGGAGGAGGAGGAGGAGGAGGAGGAGGAGTGCTGGTAGAGCAGCAGTGGCAAAAGAGTAGACGCTAAGTTTTGTCCCTCAGATGATGATGATGATGATGATGGCCTACCCTACGATATTTCGTTTGGAAATGTCCATGCGCTGCAATACCCGTCATTGAAAGGGTATATTCGGTTATGCAAAGAGAATAAGAGCGTAAGGAACGAATTTCTCCGATATTGCTGTCACTATTTGGACTTGATCTTTTGCTGAAAATATTGAATTAAAATATCGGCAATGTATTCGCATTCAAAGGGCTCTGGAGTAAGTACAAGACGAATATCCATGAGTATAAATATCCTTTATGGATTTATTTGCAGTTTGATTTGTCGGTCGCGCAGTATGCCCCAAGTGGGCGTGTCCTGCAAATCGAATATGCCACCAGGGCCGCTGACAATAGTGGCACTGTCATTGGCATTTGTGGCAAGGACTCTGTGGTGCTTGCCGTTGAAAATCTAAACATAAGGCAGTTATTTGAGCCCGATGCCAATCAACGCATCTTCAACATTGATGGCTCCATTGGCATGGCCGTCGGCGGGCTGCTGGGCGACTGCAACGTTGTGGTGGATCGCACCCGCCTGGAGGCCGCCAACTTCCGGCAAAAGTATGAGCGTGGCATTGCCCTGGAGGCGCTCTGCGAGCGCGTGGACATATTTCTGCATGCCTACACTTTGTACAGCTCCACTCGTCCGTTTGCTCTGACCATTATGCTGGCCGGATGGGATTCGGAAAAGGGACCGAGACTCTACAAAATTGAGACATCAGGCATCACCACGGGACACTTTTCCTGCTCCTTCGGCAAGGCAGGAGAGAGGGCCCAGAGCGAAATGAACAAATTTAAGTTTAATGATTTCACTACAGATCAGCTGGTCAACGCGGCTAGTGAAGTGTACGTTTCCCTTATCCCTATTTGATTCCCATATCGATTGCTCATTGTACTTTTCAGAATTTACAGCGTTCATGATGAAAGTAACGACAAAAACTTTCGTTTGGATGTGGGCTTAGTCGGTGGCGAAACCAAAGGATGTTTTCAATACAAATCCAAGACATTCCCCAAGAAGAACAGAAGACCCCAAGTTGCAGGAGAGGCAAATGAGAACAAAGACGCCAAATAATGTACAATCTACAACTAATGAACCAACACTACAAGGCAACATACCAAACAAATATGCAAATCAACAGAGGGGCGCTGCTGCATTACACGAAACACTTACACACTGAAATCTGAAGTTAATTAAACTCCGTAACAACTGTAGAAGTATATGTTAAGCATGTGTGTGTTTGGATATATAATTTTGAGTACTTTCCATAAATTCAGGAACATTTAATTAAATGCAAAAACCGAACTCTATTTAACTGCTTGTTAAAGTTTATGTTCTGCTAAGACGCAACTTTAACATCCTTAGAACCATAAAAAGCTAAGAGGGAATAGCTTTAAAGTGAAATAGTATTCAACTGGCAGTTGTTAGCTTTAACAAACATATGCGAATGGAGGCTGTTGTTTTCCTATGCTTAACTGCATGATGCATGATAAAATGGGTGCTAACTTTAACAAACACATGAGAAAATTGGCTAACAAAAATGTTCTACTACGTATTCACATTTTTGGTACAGCTTTCTCCGAGAGCAAGCAACTGGCAGCATGCAGGGTACTATTCTCTAGAGAGTACCAAAACAACATACGAGCCATCTTATGGGTCTGCACTTTAGTTTGCTTACAGAACACCATCTCCATGCAACAACAACATCAACAACATCAACAACAAACATCGCGACGGGAACGACAGCCCATGAAGAAGGGACCAGCCAGCGGTCGGGGGAGAAAAGGGTCACGAAGGAATGCTCTTGGGCAAGCATTTTTTAATCCCTTCGGGATACGTTTTCTCTCTGTAGGGTGTGTGTGTGTGAGTGTGTGTGTAGAGGTTTGGACTATGGAGGTAGCTAATAATCAAGAAAACGAAACGAACCGAAAAGATACAAAAAGCAGAGAGGGGAATGGTGGTGGTTGGGGGGGAATAATGCGGCAGGGCAGAGGCGGATCGCCAGACTTATAATTATAGTCGAAGAAGAGAAGAGACCTGCACTGCACATGCGTTAATCTGGAAACCCTTTCGGCTAGAAGGCTGCTGCTGCTGCTGCTGCTGGAGAAGGGGGGGGGGATGCTCTGGCATCACAGATTATAGTCAAAGCTATTAAAAATCTAGCATAATCATTGCCTTGTGCCCAGGTCCAGCAGCAGCAGCAGCAACCAGCAGAGAGATGGAAAAACAAGTTACTGCCTCCCATCTCCTGTTTTTCTGAGGCGCTCTGCCACTGCCTTCGATCTCTGGCTTTTCTGAGCCACTGCCTTGTCCATATAATTTTCTTGATTAATATCCATAAGATTTACACATTTGGAGTGCTCTCCCTCCCTTCCCATTCTCTACTGCTCAGCGGCTCTACCGCTCTATGTGTGCGCTGGCCATTAATTTAAAAGCTTTGCTAATTTCGCGGCCATGTTTTCTGCCTGCCTGCCTGCCTGCCCGCCTGCTGCCTGATGGCTGGGGTGGGGAAAACTGGGGCCTGAAAATGGACAACTGCTAATGAAGTTTTATGGGTTCGGGAACGCAGCTGCAGTCTGCCTTTACAGGGATTGATACTGTCGTTAGTCCAAATGGAAAATGCTTCAAAGTTATGACATCAGATTTGTTATTTTTAAAAGGGAAGATGGTTCCAAGGAATAGTATTTCGGAATGATTACGACTGACACCCTTTTATGCAAATATAATGTATTTTTAGTTTTAATTCCAAATGATTGATTCTTGACGTTAACGCACTTCCATCTGAAAAACACTTGACTTCAGTCTGACTTGGAGAAGATGTTCCTTGGCTACCCTAATCCGACACACATTTTCTTTAATCTACTTTTCTATGCTAAGCCGATCTCTTCATAAATTTCTTTAGCATATTGTGCTGCTCTATTCACTCGAACTCGAAATCCATTCGAAAATTTCACCCATCAATAGAGTTCTTAAGATTCTTTTGTGTATGGGATTGCTACTTTTTTCATGCTGTCTTTTGTGTGGAGATTTCTATGAGGTTATTCTTGTTTATTTGATGAAATTTATGTTAATAATTTTGGGTAGCGTTTATGCTAAAGATGTATCCAAAAGATATATCCACAATTTTTACTTACGAAATATCCAAAAAAAAGGCCCGAAAATGATCTTGAATGATCCACCCTGCCTGAACGATTGCCTAGCAAAAAACCTGTAGCTTACAGTCTAAAAATATTCATATTTCCAGCAGACAGCATTTAATTTCCTCTTCGAAGTTTACGACTATCCTCCACGAAGAACATCGAATTAATTGAATTGATCAAGTGAATTATAGACACGTGTCATAGCCGAGGCGTGTCTGCTGTGTCTCTATCCGAATATGGCGAAAAAATCCTAACGATCAATTGAGTGGCCATTGTTCCATTCGCTTTATGGATTCTGTCTGTCTGTTTTTTTTAATCACGATTTTTAACGTCTTTTAATTAATTTCGATTTTCCTGCCAAAAGGCAATTAAACAGATTTCCCCCTTCTGAAGCAGCAGCAGAGCAGCAGTCGCTGCAACCGAAAAGCAGAGGGAGAGAAAAACTGGTAACCGTAGATCGAAAAGAAAGAAAAACCCACCCAAAGAGCTTAAATGCAATAAAATGTTATGGCTCGGACCATTCTTATGCTAAAAATCTGTTTTGGACACACACCAAATTGCCCATAAACCAGACACAATGAACATTCAAAATAGATCTCTACTGAAGCGAAACAAAAGCCAATAACTTTATAGAACCGACCGCAGCCAAACAACAAGAAAACTAAAAAAAAAAAATATATCAGACTGTGAGAGCGCGGGAGGCGTTTTACTACAAGAAAAAGAGAAAATAAAAAAAACGGAGGAAAACCGAAGAAGAAAAAAAAAAAAAACTAAAGCATTTAAAAGAAATCAAGAGATGTAGATGACGATGATGATGATCAGGGTCCGAAACTGAAGCAAAGATGAAGCCGAAGTTGGGGCTGGGAATGAATCTGAAGCTGATGTTGGGGCTTGGGCTCGGGCCTGGAGTCTGAATCTGAAGCGGAGGCTGAGCCACAGACCGAATCCGAATCTGAATCTGAAGCGAGCCGTACCCAACAGAAGCTTGCGGCAATTGCGTTTCCTCTTTGGACACACGTTCTGAACAATTAAAGCGCGCGGCAAACTGAAACTGAAGCCAGGGCTGGGGATGGATGGCAGGCAGGCCAAGCCAAGACCGCGACCACGAACAAAACCAAAACCAAATCCAAAAAAACAACCAAACCCAAACCAGTGAGAGATGGCTATATCTATGGATATTCCGACTATAAGATACCCGCTAATGGGCAGTATTTGAAAAACCAACTCACTTAATGTAAGATGCGAGGCGATGCCTTTAAATTCGAATTTCGTACTGTTTTTTTAATATTTAAGCAATTTAATAATATTTATTAGGGGATAAGATATTATCTGTTATTTGTTTAATGATCTCAAGCGTAGCAAAGTTCTCTCTTCATTTTTGATGGCAAAAATTGTTCTTAATTTTATCAGTAGTATTTGACACTTTGGCAGATAATATCCCTCCAAATTCATAACATTAAAAATATATATTTTTTTTAATTTTAGACTGTAATATTCCCACACTATTCGAATATAAGAATATAAGTGATCCAAATAAATCTCGATGCTGATTACGAATCCTTTTTTGTAATTCCTCTTTCCCGTCTCATAGTTCTACAAAAACACGGTATACCCTTGTAGCCTACGAGTGACAAACGGTATAAAAACCGGATCCGAATCGAGCACGATGGAACAGAGAGAGAGAGAGAGAGAGCCACTGGCCACTGGCACTGGCTACAAGTGAACTGGTTTACAAAGCAGTGGAAGAAAAAAAAAACAACCGAAGAATTCCAAGCGAAGGTTTTTTCGAGTCCGGGCCAGGCCCGAGCCCCAACTCGAGTCAGAGCCCGGTCCACAGACAGAGCCCAGAGCCGGGCGAGCGCCACAGACAGCGGCTCTGTCAATGGGGGAAACGCTGGGGCTGTGGCTGTGGCTGGAGCTGGGGCTGGGGCAGAACGCTGCTGCTGCTGCTGCTGCTGTGGCACCACACTGAGTTCGGTGGCAATGACAGTGGCACATGCAGTTGTAGTGGAAGCCGCTGCGGCAGACGGTCGACAGTTGCCTCCAACGTTGTCTCTCTCTCCTTCTCTCTCTTTCTCTCTCTGTCTGTCTCTTTGGGAGCAGGTTTTCTCTCTCGCTATGTACTCGTTGGTTTTGCCACTCGCTGGCTTTTGGTTTTGGCCAACGCAAAAATACAAAAATAAAAAAGAAAATAATTAGCTAGCCCTAAGAAACAGCTAAGGAAAATAAAAAACAACTGCTAAGGAATTTCAGTGTTCATATTAGTGGGCAGGGCCTGTCGTCTGGGTTGCTTCTCCGTCTTACCTTTGGGGGAAGAAAGCCTCAGGCTCTGCAAGTGATGATGATGATGATGGTGGTTGAGCAGTGGAGCTCCCAAGTATCCAAAGTAGTTTGAACAAGTTTTTTTGTGGGTTTTTTTATGGTATTTCTTGTTAGTTTTTAAGCTCTAAAATGCTTGGCATTGTTTTATGATTGACGAAGAAATTTTCGCATTGAACTTCCGTACAGAACTTGATTTAGTTTCAGGAAATTTTGTTGGGTGTATATTTGTGGATTTTTTAGTTCACTTTAGCGGGAATTTTGAATGCATTTCCACAGAATTTTCTATAATAGAAACGATAGTATTATTAATAAATGATATATTTGTGGTTTTTCGCTAAACATTTCCATTCCAAAGCCAACACACGCACGCACGAACACGTCTTGGAGCACGCACACAGATACTGGCTCTTTTGAGATACAAATCACGGCACGATCACGGTCTCCCAGTACCCAGAGGGGTGGAGGCGGTAGCGGTGGCGGTGTGGGGGGCAGACAGGGGGTGTTACGGGAGCAGCAGCATCAACGGCAGTCAGCTACCACAAAACCACGTAGATGGGGCCGACTGGCGATGCCGATGCCGACGCCGACCGAAACCACGTACAACGTACAACAACGGGGGCCGCACACACAGATACAAAAGTATCTTTCGTATCCACAAAAACCCGAACCGAACGTACCCCACAGCGATCGCAACGAAATGAACCGAACCGAACTCGAAACGAACACAAGCCGAAAGATACACGGCAGCTGAAATGTGTTTTTCTACATTTTGTTTGAAATAGGAGCTGAAGCCAGTGCAGCTACCAATTCGCTCCTCAAGTAGTCCCCAAACTCTTCCCACACACAACGCGAGCGAGAGGAGCGGAGCGCAGCGGCAACAGTTGCAGTTGAAAAGCGCTTTTCTCTGTGCAACAAGTTCACTCATCCACACACACATGCACACACACACACACATACACAATAGGAGAGAGAAAGATGGATTGATATTGAGAGAAAGAGAGAGAAAAAGACATACAAAATGCAGTTCACTTTTTTCCGGTGGAACACGAATCCGCGCGCAGGTGCTTTAACCACGATCAACAGTCGAAGAATGAGCCACAAAAAACTAGCCACGAAGGCTCAGAACACGTTCAGAGAGACTGTCTCTCAGAGAGAGAAGTGTCGGAGAGATGCAGAGAGAAATGTATGGAGAGTAAACACACGAAAATCCAACGAGTATAGAGAGAGATACGAAACCAACCAGCGGTAGTAGCTATGAGAAAAACCAGTAAGAAGCAAAAATCCCAAACCGTCCGCCAGTCGCACGCTGCTGGACGGACAGTCGGACAGAGCGGGCGGACAGATATTACGGAGCGTGGAACGTGCATACGTACGACGAGTTATTGTCAGTTAGAGCGCTACCAGTTTACCGTCCAACGACTACCGACTGCCTTCTTATTTTTATTTTTTTCTGTTTTTCTGTTCGTTGTAGGGTGCGACGGAGGGTAGCATGGAGAATGGTGGTGTGGTGCACCGAGTGTTGCCAGATTGCCGCTGCTTCATGGTCGTAAGAGGCAGGGGTAGGGGTTCGGCTCTGGACACTGGAGAGGGTGTAATTCTGGTAGTCCTCTCCGTTTATTGTTCATTCATTTGAAGGGGAAGTTTTTTTGTTGTTTCTTTATAGAAGTGTGATATGCGATAATGGTGGGGAAATGACTAATCGGAATTTATTTTGGCCAAATAAGGATGATAAGGCAGGAAGCCTTACATAATAAAAAGGGTTGTAAAGAAATGATTCACTTCCAACGTGGGGTTTTTAAGAATTGGTTTTTATTGGTTATATTATCGGTTGATCGGAGACGGAGATTACCAGAAGTACTCGTATAAATGGGGCGGTTGTGTGTTCTTACATGTGTGTATGTTTTGAGCAAAAGATAGCTGATGCGGTAGCTAGATGTCTGGACTTACATTGCGAAAAGGTTTCAAGCAACAAACTGAAGATTTCTGGAGCAGAGTAAGATCCTTATCCTTGCTATATATGTACATTTATAAGGGTAAAGGAAGATCACTTCGTTATGTAGAACATTATACACATGCATTTATCACATATCCCATCTAACTGTTTTGGCATCCAACAATCTGGCAACCTCTTGTGCAACTTCTCATCTCTCGAGGCAACAGCATCAATGCGGTCAAGTGCCATAAGGAAAGAAGGAAACAAAAGACCCAAAACACAGTCAGGGTCTTCGTTGGCATTGCTTCTGAGGTGAGGTGAGCTGCGCTGCTGGCTGGCTTCAGTTTGTGGTCCAAAAAATACAGAGGGTGTATGTGCGTCCGAAAAGAGAGGGAGTGACGTTCGTCATGATCACGATACGATAATGATGACGATGGTGATGATTGCCAGCAGACCCCGAAAAAGTCTCTGAACAAAACAGAGACAAAGGTAGAGGTAGAGGTAAAAGCATAAGGCAGAGGCTGCTGTGTCTGTAATTAAGGCAGTGCACAGTGGAACTAAATTGTTTTTGTTTCTGCTGCTGCTGCTGCTGGAGGAATAGCAAAACAGTAAACGGTGAACTGAAGCAGAAGCAGTAGAAGTAACAGCAGAAGCAACAACAACCACAGCAGCGGCAGCAGCAGCAGCAGCAGCAGTCGAAAGAAGAAGTAGTTAAAGAAGGGGAAGAGAAGAGAAAACGGTAGCCGCCTCATAGGGCGAGCGAATTGTTATGCTAGTCGTTGACTTCCCCCCATCAGCAACTGTTGCTGCTGCCTGCGCCTGCTGCTGCTGCTGCTGTTGTTTGCCTGCTGCTGCTTTGATACCCAGCAAGTGTATATAGATTAGAAGGGTATATGGGCAATATTCTACATTCAAATTAATTCTACATTCAAATCCATATACATAGGATTCAATTCTATGCCCATAGCCCAGAGCCATGGTATCCACATTATTGGGGGAACACGCAGAAATCCTATTTAGTGTTCTTAGATACATGGACACTACCCATAGACCTCCTCCAAGTGTCATCTTAGCCCGATAAACTAATGCTAATGTCAATATACACTTAAAATATATATATACACAATATATATGTGTGCAGATCCATAAATAATAATTAGAAAAATATGTTCAGCCAAATGGGATGAGGAATTAAATCAGACTGCAGGGTATCCCATAGACATCACTCCCCATTGCATTGCTTTGGTTCCTCTACGTTGCTCCGTGTGCATATTTTGCATCGCTTTACGATTTTAAAATAAATTACTTGAAAATTGTGTAAAACATGTGGCCAACTGGGCGTCTGTCTGCCTGTCTGTCTGTTTGGCTGTTTGGCTGCGATGTGGTGGAAAGAGGGCTAGAGTGTGGGGGCCGGCAACAGGTTCATTGATCGCATTTGAAATGCTTCGTTGGCCCGACATTAGCGGCCAGGTAGAAGGCAGGTAGGAGAGCGGCATAAGATCGTTTTGGGTTGGGCCCTGGGATCGCATCGCATCGAATCGAATGGGGGGAATGGGGGGATCGTTGAGCCTAATTAATGATATTTAGGTGCATTTTTTGAAAAGCCCCTGGGGCTGTCAGCAGTACACGCATTTGTCATTTGTTCTTGGTATATTCTTTATTTAATAATTAAAGCTCTTATTTAGTTTTCTTTTTGCTTCATTTCTGTTTGGTTGTTGTCTTTGGTTGTTGTTGTTTTGTTTTTGTTTTTGTTGGCCGCCTCTGCTTGTATATATTGTATGTGTTGTATATAATTTAATATAATATAATCATAATGCATACATTTATTATCGTGGAAATCTCTATTTAAAATATATAAAATATATATATATTTATTTTTTTGATTACTAAAAATGAAGCTTTTTCACTCATACGAACACTGAACCCAAAAAAAGGGAAATCAGCGTTTTAAAGATCATATCTTTAAATGACAAAGTAACTACTGGATTCTGAATGCATTAAATATATGTATTCTATATAATTATTGTTTGATCTACAATGAAATAGTATGATGTGTGGCTTGTGGCTTCTGGCTTCTGGAAATGTCTCTGTCATCCTAAAAAAAACCTCAACTTATCAAAAAAAAAGTCAAAGCTTATAAAAAAATCTACATGTATCATAATTTGAGCGTGTCTAACTAAGAAATCCTTCACTTTGAATCGTTTATGGGAATTTAAGGGAATATGGGAAAACATTGCGGATTCGATTTTTTAACAGTAAATATTTTCCATTATATTTGAAATATTATTTTTCCTTTTCGTGATTTCGAATTTTTTGGTCTCTAGTTTACGCTTTTTCTGTAAATAGACATTTATCTAAACTTTGAGCCTTTGAATACCTAAACATTTTCAATCTATACGAATTCCTATATACATTAGACAATCAATTTTGGTCTGCTGTATGATCATTTCTCTCGTTTTCCCTCGTGGCTAAATATATACTACATACTCGTATATGTATGTGTATGACATGACAACCTCACTAAACATAAGTATTTTTATGTGTATATGTATATGTGTATATTATATCTTTTGTAAGAATACACACCAAAAATTCAATTGTATGCCTTTACTATATGTTCAAAATAGTTTTAAACCCGCTTTGAATGACCGACTAAATTCCTTGGACTAAGCAATCATCTATCGACTAGAACTAATTGTGGTTTTTCTTTGGCTTACACTCTATAAATATATGTATTTATGTATGTATGTATGTAATGTATGCATGTAATGTAGTACCCGTACTAGTGTCGAACAATGTTTTGTTTTAATTTTAATCCATGAAGTAGCTAAAACTTCGACGCTTTCGACGGCTGCCCAAGGCCGATCTGGAGCGTGTTTTCAACCTTAGTTACCCGGACTTAATCCAGCGATCAATGGAGTATTCCAAGGCGGATATCCAGCTGATAAAAAAATAGACACTAGATACAGTAGATACTAGGATTATGTGATGTTTGGTGTTAGTTTACCGCTTCTTATCCATTTCGCTTTCAGTGCAAAAATAATAGTGACGCAATTTCGTTTCTGGTGGTATTATCTCGAATGAATTCTTCTTGCCGGACGCATTCGTGGACATTGAGGCCACCTTGTAGCCGTGCAAGCAGGCCATTCCTAGAGAAATTCAATTAATTATTTGTCTGGCTGTCCACTGTCTATTGGGCTTTGGGCTTTGGGCTTTTGGCTGCTGCCCCCCCCATGACTCACCGAATGCACTCTTGCTATTTGCGTCTTGGTAAAAATAGAGGCAGGCATCCTTAAGTACACAATAGCGTTTCGACCAGCCGCACCACCTTGAGCCCAATTTGAGCAAATAGCCAAAGCAATCGGGCCTCTGAATGTTGGTCGGAGCCTGGTACAAGCACCGCGCACTGTGAGGGGAAAATGATGTGAGAAACGAGCCCAGCCCTCACGTTAGTGTTTTTCTCAAAGATCAGTAACCCACACACCTCTTGTCCAGCCACTGGTTATCCTGGGAGGCGGCCTGGCGCAGCAGATTCAGCCATCTGTTGGCCAGATCATCCGAGTCGGCGGCCACGTACATGGGAATGCCCTCGCCAGCGTCCACTTTGAAGGCGAAAGGCTTGCCAATGTCCACGGGGCACAGATCCACAGTGTGCTTGGCCATGATCATCGCACCAACGGGCTGCGAGTCCTGGAAAATTATGAATTATAAAAACCTGAAACCTTAAACTCTGGCAGGGATCCCACTTACATCCTCTGTTTTGTAGTAATACAGACAGTTATCCGGCCTCAGGGAGAACCAGCGTCGCACCCATTTCTGGGCATTGGGCGCCCCCTTGGCCTGTCCGCTCTGGCGCCACAGATAGCCACTGAAGATGGGCTCGCTGGGTGGCTCCAGCTGCTCGTGCATCAGCACTCCAATGGTGCGGGCCACCTGCAGCTCCAGCTTCTCGCAGCCATCGTGGGCGATCTTCACGACCTCTGTGTGGTGTTTGTCCAGCACTTGGACGCCATTAACCGATATGATAATGTCGCCCACTTCCAGGCCGGAGCTCTCCGCCGGCGTTTCCGGCTCGATGGCGGCCACAACGACGGGCTTTGAGCCATGGATGCGGAAACCGAATTCACCCGAATCGCTCTTCACCACAACGGTTTTGTCCACGCCTGCGTGCGAAGAGAGGAACACACACACAGGTACAATCAAGCGAATAGATAAAGATATAGATAAAGAGATTTGTTTGATTTGTGTGATTTTATTTCCGGAATATATATATATTCCGACACCACTACTATTTACCACTCGTGCCGTTGCTCAGCTTTGATATCACAAAACTTTCGCGTGCCCATACCAAAAGCATTAGCTTTAAGACCTCCTCCAACTTGCGACGCACCGAATCCGGCGTGGAATTAGACGCTATTAATTCTGTGGCACAAACGAAAGGAAAAGGCTTAAACCATCATGGCCTCAAACATGCGCGGCTGCTCCACTGTTTACCCACCAATCATTTGAACTAAGATTTGTGTAAATATCGAATCTAGCCTTGGTAATCTCTCGCAGTTCTCGCACTTTTATTTCACATTTGGGAAGCGTTTTACGGTCGGCACACAACAAAGCACGCACCCCAACTAGCCGCAAAAAACTGCGAGCATAGTTTATTTTTTTACACTTCGCTCTAATGATTCTGCAGCATATGTCTGTCTGTGCCTGTCTCTGTGCCAAGTGCCGGTCATGAAAATTCGGAGCGCCATCGACCGACCGACCAACCATTTCATTATCTATGAAAAGTTCTCCCGCTCTGGCCAATGGCTCTCCTCTCTGATTCTCAGCGGAACACATCGCGCACGTTGTGCCAAAATTAGAATATTGTTTGGCTGTAAACAAGCAGGGTGCCCGAAGAGTGTGTACGAAACAGGGTGCCTCAAGTGGATTGTACTAAAGATTTATAGCAACAAAGTCTGGCGAAGAGAACGGGAGAGCACAGCTGGAAAGCACAGCTCGAAAGCACAGATCGAAAGCTTTTTACCGAGTACGCGAAGTGTGTGTACACAACAGGGTACCTCAAGTGGATAAAGATCATAACAACAAAGTCTGGCGACGAGAATGGGAGAGTAAGCTGAAATATCAGAGGCAGCACAGCTCGCAAGCTTTCCCGAGTGCGCGAAGTGTGTGTACACAACAGGGTACCTCAAGTGGATAAAGATCATAACAACAAAGTCTGGCGAAGAGAACGGGAGAGTAAGCTGAAATATCAGAGGCAGCACAGCTCGAAAGCACAGCTCGAAAGCTTTCCCGAGTGTTTTGTTATCTTTGGTCTTACTTACGGAAATTATTATTCTTCTGGCGATGATACATCTCCAGAGTGCATCGACGCTGAACAAGACGATGGAGAATCACCTGGTACTTGGCATGGAAACCCTTCTCGGACTCTGTGGAGGCCCTGCGCTCCCGCGAACGATCTGTGGATAAAAAATAGAACAATCTAGATTCTAGATCTATGTAGCTAAAGATAGCAGAGGATTTTCACTCACCGAAACACTGATGATCCAGCTGCGTCCACAGATCGTCATCCGTGAGGCGAGTGTACCTGCCCTCATCGTAGTGGCCCTTGTAGATGATATGGTGGTTCTGTTCCGTGCTGATATCGGGCAGGACACAGGGACTGGAGCCAGCAGGACGCAGAACTGGGGTATTGGGCAAGCTGGGAGCTCGACCACGCTCCTCGCTCTTGGCTCTGATGTTCTCCTGGCGGGACTTGTAGTGCCTGCCCCGCTCCCCGGCGTGATAGCGCTCTTCGGATCGGAAACGCTTGTCCATTTTCTTGTACAGCCGCTGAGTGGTTTTGGTGGTCACGGGGGAGTCGGCAAAGTCCGATGGGGGCTTCACAATGTCCGCCTCCTGTTCGATGTAGGGTATGGACTCCACGGAGTCACCTACCAGATCCTGCTGCTTGCCCTCCATCTCCTTGCCGCAGTGATGGCAGTGGCCCTGATCGGTGGCACTGGCCGCCGTGCCATCGGCCTCGCTGTAGAACACAGAGTCGGAGCCGGGCGACACCGAACGCAGGGACTCGATGGACTTGGCTTTCAGTTGACACATCGTCTCCGATGCGGACTTGGAGTGGGTGCTGCTCATGGGGGGCAGTTTGGGCGACAGCAGAGACGTGGGAGTGGCACAACTGTGCGGCTGTGGCTTCTTCACCTGCTCCAGCTCCCGCACCCGCTCCTGCGGCGGTGGCGGTGCCACTCCAATGACTGTTGTGGTGGTGGTTTCCGTTGTTATGGCTGCTGTGGTGGGCACAATGCTCGGCCTGGGACTGGGAACCAGTGTGGTGGTCATGCTGCCATCCAGCAGCAGTTCCGTATCCCCACTGGCGCTGCTCAGGCCGTAGATAGTGGGCCTCGTCCGTCGAGCTGCTGGTGCTGCCAGGACATCTTCGCGGGAGCTCTTGCGCAGCTGTCGTCGTATCTTCGGACGGAAACGTTTTATTTTGCTGGGACTGCCGTTCTCCAGGGCGCCAGCGCTGTGCTGCTCGGGCGACTGCAGCGATTGCTTGCCCGCCACGGCCTTCTTGATGGGACTGGTGAGGGCGCGCATGTTCTCCTTCTCGATGTCCAGCTTCATGCTGGTCTTGCGCCTCTTGTTATCCTCGTGCTTGAGGCGTCGCGCCTTGCACGTGGTCGTGACCTGCTCCTCATCGTCCTCGTCGTGGGGACTCTCGTAGTAGCCGGACGAGGAATAACGCACCTCACTGCGCTCGTCCTCGGAAATGGACTCGGGCTTGGGTTTCACTGCTGCCCCCGCTGCCTCCGTTGCGGCTACTTTGACTTGCTGGCTGCTGGTGGAGGGGCTGGTGGCCACCGCCTGTGGCTGGGTCTGTGGCTGGGATTCCTTGGCAGGAGATTTGATGGCCTGACAGCTGCCCGAGGATGTGGTGCTGCTGATCGAATGCGATGGCGACTTACGTGTCAGCTCTGCCACCGAACCACCCATGGGGGACTTGAGGGAACTCTGCGACATTTTCATCTGCTTCTCCCTCTCAGATGGTCCGTCATGGAGCAGATCCTCCCGCATGGAGTACAGAGAACTGGCACTCTCAAAGGAGCTGCCCGCATGCGTTTTATCCAGCTGTGAGCTTTGAGTGGAAACTGTTTAAAACAAAATAAAAGAGAAAGATAGTTCCAAATGTTAGATACATTTCTGGATAATATTTTGGGGATTTCACAGCTAAAGCATTGCGAGCAAGGCATTTATCAGGCAACAACAACAAACTAGAGAGACAGAGAGAGAGAGAGATTTATAGAGAGAGAGGAGGTGGATGATGTGGCTAAGACTATACGCTAATAGGCTAACAGGTTAACACTATGTATAACTAGTAGGGCTGTAAGCGTGAAAGCGGTGAGTGGTGTCCACAAAGTACGATTCATTTGATTGATTGATTGTTTGGCTTGATTGGTTGGATTGGCTGCTGATGGAACAAGGCACTAGAGAGGCTGCACACAACATTGATGATGGATTAAATTAACACTTAGGTTAGGGGGACAATTACGAGTACACACACAGAATACACACACAGAGTACTATCTATGTCTGATAGGGGCCCAAACCTGGCACTTGTGTGGCGGACGATGAACTTGTCGTTGTCGGCGGTGTCTTAATACCTGGTGTACGCTTCGAGTTGTCCGTACAGGTGGCATACTCATCTGTATTCGTGCTGCACTCCGAGATGTCCGCACTCCTTGCATAGTCCGGTACACCCATGGGCAGAAACGAGGCATCCGAGTGTCTGTAAGGGAGTAAATGGAACTCTAAGTAGATATTCTAGGTTCTAGGGTCCCTTCTACCTTTGCTTGCTGACTGCCACAGTCGGATACATGAGCTGACGTGCATCCGGCACGGATCCCCTTGGCACCATGGCACGCTTGGGCAGTGGCGAGGAGCCCATGGAGGAGTCCAGCGGCTGATTGCTCGACGGGGTTACAGCAATGGCTGGCGGCGGTGCCAGAGGCAGAGTGGAGGCAGGCCGTGAAGTTGTCGGTGTCGGGGTCTTGATGATCTTTGGCAGTGTTTGTAGGCCATAGGTGGGGCTCTACCAAAGAGAGAATAAAATTACAACGAAGACCAGGCAGCGAGTTGTAGCTGTGGTGTCCCACCTGCTCTTCAAAGTCCAAGGCATCCGTGTCCACGGAGCTGCGCTGCTGGTGCTGCAGCAGGAGATTCTTTCGCTTCGATGATGGCGTCAGCAGCAGATTGGAGCTGTAGGAGCCGTCGGAGATGTGCTGATCGGCGGTCAGAACGGTGACCTGCGACTCGTTCCAGATGCCATCAGAGTGATCGCGTGTCGTGTCGTTGGCCAGCGAGTCTGAGGATGGATACGTGGAGACATTGGCCAGCAGCAGCTCCTCGCGGCAGGGACTGGCCGGAGTGGAGGGCAGACGGAGTCCAGGTCCGGGTCCGGGTGCCGGGAAGATGCCCGCTGCAGCGGCATAGTCATCGTCCAGGCTGACGGATCGCTTGCGGAACTGCGACCGCTTATCCTGAATGTCCTCCAGAATCAGTGGCGGCGGCAGCGGCGGCGGTGGCTCAACCTTGCAGCCACACGGGATAATGTTCTCATAGATGGGATCCTCGTCCTCGGGATGATCATTCTCCGTTCTGTTCCGCTCCGATTCGGCTTCTTCTTCGTCATCCTGGTCCTGGTCCGGATCCTGATCCTGTTCTTCGTCCTCATCCTCGTTCTCGTCCTCGTCGCTGGGCACCAGCTCAACTTCGACTGACTTCAGCTTCGGGAGGGTGAGAGCAGCGGCCTGCGCGAGTCGCTGCTGCTGCATCTTCCGCATGGCAATCTCCGCCTTGTGCTGCTTTCGATGCTTCAGCTGGAGCTTGGGACTCGGCTTGGGCGAGACATGCGGCTTGAAGTCAATGAAAATCTCCTGCTCGTCCCGCCTGATGCCCCCCGCCTGGGGCTCGTCCGGAAAGCAGCTCACCTTGTCGCGTCGCCGGAAGGATGTGCGCGGCCCAAAGCCATCGATGAGCTTCTCCGTTTGGCCGTAGACCGGCATAGACTGACGCCGCAGGTCATCCCGGCGAAAGGGCGAGTCCATCATCTGGGGCAGCATGGACATGCGACGGGCCGCCTGCTCCATGCACACCTCCGAGCTGTAGCTCTCCGTCTCGTGTGGATGCGTCTCCTCCTCGTCGTCATAGTACTCCTCCACATCCTCCGCCTCGTCGTCGTTCTTGCAGTATTCACTCGGCGGCGGCAGCAAGTGGGGCCGCGTAAAGTCCAGGGCCACCCCGTGATCCGGCATCAAGTCCACACACTCCGTAATATGCTTGCACATGTCATGGCCGTGCAGGGCATCCGCTCTGCGGGGCAAACTGTTCGAGTAGTAATCCGTCTCCGTGCGCGCATGCGAGCTACAGGCCCGTCGCGGCAAGCTGTTGCTCTCGTAGTCGAAGCTCTCATTGAGGGCCACCGCCGCGGCATTCACGTTCACGTACTCCACATTCTGTTCGGCCGGACAGGGACGTCCCCTGCTCAGGTGCTCCATGCCCAGACCATAGCTGTGGGGATCCAAGAGCGGAGGCGGCGGCTTGTAGTACATGATGTTGTTCTGCGCATCCGAGAGCGTTTGCAGTGGAGTCACATCCTGCGACTGGGTTCGGTAGATCATTTCGTGGGGGTAGATCACTCTATGGGTGGGGGAAAATTGCACTTTAGATGAGATGATGAGATCTTTCCTTCTCTGCTTGGCTTACCCCGGTTGATAGTGATGCGTTTGCACGTCCTTGCCGTTGGGAATCTCCGAGAGGCTCTTCGTTAGCTTCTTGCCGTTCTGCAGGCCATTGGTCTGGGCGCCCTGGGACACCACCTTAATGCGATGTGGCGGCCTGGGGCTCAACGACATGATTTGCGTGCTGTAGCCAGCCTGACGGCGCGCGGCCAAATCCGTTTGCGTGGCCTGAGTTTTCATGGCATTCCGAAACTTTTTCTCCACAATAAGGACCTCAGGACTGGGCGGTGGCAAGGCCATGGGCAGCGGCTGTGGTATGATGAGACCCAGCATGTTGTCTAGAGACGAGAAATGTTGGCAATAAGAATCGACAAGTGTAGGGATGGGTCAAGGGCTTACCCGGCAAGGGCTGATGCAGATGAATGGGCGCATGATGATGCTGACATGTCTGCAGTTGCACTGACTGTGGCAGCCAGGTTTTGGGCAGCGTCGAGCTCTGTGGCACTGTGACTGTGGGCTGCAGCGTCTCGTACATGGAACCAGAGGCAATTATGGGCTTCTTGCCGCCAATCAAACGCTCCTGACTGCTGGCCGTCTTCAAGCGACCCGAGGAGCGGAAACCCGCATTCACATTGTCGAAGCTGGTGAGCGTATGCGAGCGAGCGAAGCTCACATGTTTGGTTCTGCACAAAAAGGAAATCGATTAAGGAGGATATATTATACAGAAGCTAGATATGTATAGATACCTTCCCGCCTGCTGCTGCTGCTGCTGCTGATGGTGATGAGTGTTCGGCATCGTGGCATATGTGGGGCAGTGATACGAGCTGTGGAGTAAGTAAATCACACAGGACTATTAGCTGCACTCGCTTCTTGGACGCTCGGACTCTAATTTACATTTAATTCGCATTAAACTTTATTTCAACTATATTTTGCTTTTCTCTTTGGTGTTTTTTTTTTTCATTTCATTTGCTTTTTGGTCACGTGCAGACACATAACATAAAATAAACATTTTTAGCGCACTTTCTTTGGTTAATAGAGTTCTTGCTTGTTCGTTTTCTTTTCAGATACTATTTAAGTTTAAGTATTTTAGTCTAAGATTTTTGTTTAGATTTTAGGTTTAGATTTTAGATCACTTTACATACCAAACATTTAGATTAGCGATTTGATTGGTGTGTGATGTTGGTGGTGTAGGATTTGGTGGAGCGCAAAGCTCGACATAATAATTCCGTAGCAAAACATCCTGGTAAAAGGATTCAAGTGGTGCTGTACAACAAGTTGCCCTTTACACATTTTGATCATTTTCATTTTTTGTTTTGTTTTTTTTTTAGTATTTGTGGGTATTTTTTTGCATGGTTCAATTTTGGTTTTTTTTAAATTTTTTACAGTCGTTTTTTTTTTTGATTGATTTTTGAGGAGAGAAGGATAGGTGAATGAATAACGAAAGAGTATACGAAAAAGGTATTTTTTATACAGCGTTTCTAGTTCTCAGTGTCGGGCAGAAGGTATTCAATATTGTATTTCGGTTTGGATAGAACTTTGGAAGCAAAAGCGAGCGGCATGATGCATATATGGAGATGCGATAGAGAGGAAAGCGCTGAGTGTTGTCTTTGGGTACAGGCAAGCATTGCAAGCGTACTACTATAGTCATTAACACATAGTATCTAGTATATATATATATATGGGGGGGGATAGTGTAACAGTAGAGAGTTAGAGACTACGGATAGGGCGACAGTTTGAGGCATGATCTAGCGACAGTTGGCATAGCAGTTTTACAGTTTTGATTTTAGTTTTGGGTTTTTCGGTTCTGTTCTTTGTTTTTCGGTTCGGGAATCACCATTGCGGAGCACATACCTATGGTTCGTTTGGTACTCGGTGTTGTTGTTGGTTTGCTGCTGCTGCTGCTGCTGTTGCTGTTGCGCCGCCTGCTGTCCTATCCAGGTGTATCGTCCACCCAGATCCGGCTCACTCGACTTTCCCGTGCTTAGAATCGAGGCTGGCTGTCGTCGAAAATAGGAACTATCCAGTTCGTGTGTGTCCGTGTAGTTGTTTTGATATCTAACCAGCCGATGTGATTATTTACGCGTCATAGCTGCAGAAGCAGATGTATTGACTGCAACTCACCGTGGATACTTCTCGAATGGCGCATACGCTGCCAGATTCTCATCGGAGGGCACACGCCGCCCCACACAGCCGCCCAGAAAGCTGCCCGACTGCGTCTGTCCGCGCCGCGAAAGGCACCCAAAGAAGCGTTCCCTGCGCGGTCGCTGCTCTATGCTATGCAGCTGTCGATCTGTGAGGCAGTACTGCAACAGGAGCACACTCATTCAGTGATCAATCTTGGTGCAGGCTCAGCTTGGCACTCACCTGTTCCCTGATATCGCCGCGCGAGTAGACGGAGGCGCGTGGTTGCAGCTCGGTGGAAAGCGTGTGACGGAGTCGTCGCCGGCCCGTGTTCTCATCCTCGGAGTCGTAGCTGCGATCCATGTGGCTGGAATAGGTGGCCTGCGATGATTCAAGAAAGTTCTAATCACTTAATTTTTAATGGAAAAATGCTAAGAATATATCTGAATTTCTAAGAATCTTTTCCATTGCATATAACTTTGCTCTTTTCCTATCTTTAACTTTCTGCTGGTTCTCTGCAACCCTGTCATTTCTGTGATATTGATCATGGCAATTTACTTCTCCATTTGGTCTGCCCTTTGCTTAATTTATTCCATCCATCTACCCACCCTGCCATTCATTTGTTATCTCTTTTAATGACTCAACTACCATTCCAACTGATTCATTTGAAATCTATTCCCTCCTTTTTGTCCCTTTTTTTCGTCGTTCGCATTTCTCATTTCTCTTTGCGTGATTCGCGAACTAAGATTCGCATCGAAATAATTGTGTCAATCATTCGCCAGTGGCATTGCCATTACCAGTGACAGTGACAGTGCCTCCTGCTTCCTGCCTCCTGCCACTTGCCAATTGCCACTTGAGATTCCCGCTAGTCACATCTCTGGCACAAATTAATTGTCTGCCCCGCCCCCGTCTGCCACACGTTTTGCGGTGATACGAACCTTGGCGGAGACCTCAATGTTGCCCAATGACACAGCATGGTGTAGACCTGCAAATGAAAATGTATTTCGTTTCATTTGCCGTTTGGCATTTGCCATTTGCGAGAAGTACATAAAACATGGCGTACATAAAATATGTGATTATGTGTCTTGGAACTGCCATGTTTTAGTCAGGACTCAGGGACTCAAGGACTCAAGGACTCAAGGACTTACCACTGCCGGCAGTGCCGCTGCGAGGACCAGAGCTTGTGCCCGTGCCAGTTCCAGTCGTTGATGCCGTGCCCGTGCCCGTGCCCGTGCCACGCAAGGCAATATCCATTTTCAGCGAAACAAACAAAAAGTAAAAGAAATAAAAATGGAAATGGAAAAGAAGAGGAAAACGAAAAGCGAAACAAGGGCAGGCACACACACACACACACACACACACACACACACACACACACACACACACACACCAAACACACACACACGCAGACACTCGAGGAGGAGCAGAGCGTAGAGATATCCTTCTGAAGTCTATATATATATATATATATACGGCAGATATATAGAGATATATTTGTGGAGGCGGGGACAGAATATCTTCGTTGTGTCTGCTGTCTGCTGTCAATTGTCTGAAACCATTCGCTTCAGCTGCTGTTCCTGCATCTCCGCCTGCTTCGTCATCACCATCCAGAGCATCCTCATCCAGAGCATCGCAGCATCAATATTGATAATTAAAAGAACTTAATTCCTACAAGTTCTCCGAGAATAGAGCTTCGTTGTTTCGACTTGAATGGTTTCATTTGAGTTATCCCTTTGTGTCCTTTGCTCCCAAACACACTTTCGGATGCTGCCTTTTGTACACTAATCTCCCTGTGGACTTATGCAAGGCAGTCGTCGTCGTCAGCAATCGATATTCGCGCTGCCCAAAAAAAAGGGGGACCGTTGTGCCGTGGAAAAAGCCGTAGGAAAAACGCACCGACAAGAATTGGGTTTTCCGGTAGACTTTCTTTCTGCTGCTGCTGTCTTTTCTTGCCAAAAAGTGCGTTTTCCTTGTAGTTTTTCGGTTAAGTATTCCTTATATCTTGGGCTATTTCCATATCGTAGTACTGTTCTTTTTTGCGTACAAAGATTTTCTGTGTACGTGTGTGTGTGTGTGTGTGTGTGTGGGGGCGCTGCGTGTGGCTTTAGGTAACCCGACAGACGACAGCGTTACGGAATGGAAGTGGTATCCAAAAAACACGCTCCGTGCGCCGTGGCGTTGATGCTGGAACTGAAACCAACTGCGGATGGGACTCACTCGCAGGACGTCTCGCATCCGAGACGCACACGAGAGTACGAGAGTGCCAGAGTGGCAGAGTGGCAGAGTGGAGCTCTGCCACAAAAGAGAGTCCAGTCTCACCTCTCACTAAACAAGAGAGAGAGAGAGCAGCAGAGACTCCTCCTGGAAGCAAGGCAAACATAAAACAGATGTTCGGCATCTGTGGTGTGGTGTGGTGCGTGGCAGCAGCACCAGCGGCAGCAGCAGCGGCAGCGACTGCAAAAGCGCAACAATGGACTTGTTTTTGTGTCGCTGTGGGAGGGTGTTGGATCCGGACGCCTGGAACTAGGCAACAGAGCGTGCGTATGCGCATGACAGCGCAGCAGAGACGTCGACTGAGGCATGGGGCTGCTGCAGCAGCATTGGCAGCAACTGAAATAGCAACAGCAGTAGCAGCACCAGCAGAAGTGGCAGCAGCAGAAATTGTAGCAGCAGCAGTGTGGCAGCGTGACAGCTTCGGTGGAGGCTACTCCGCGCGGCACGTATCCCAAAACCCAGCCAGCGGCTAAATTTCACTTAGAACGCGTGTTGGACGCGTCGACCAAAGTTGACTTCACACGACGGCCCTCCAGCTTTAAGGCAAAACATCATCACTTTACCCTCCTCCGCCCACACACACTCCCCTGTCTTTTTTCCATCCTCCTCCTGCTGCGGAAAGCTTTAATCGAAGCAACGAAGCTTTTATGCCCTTGCCTTGCGGAAGAATTTAATTGGTTTTCGTGTGTCTGTGGGCGCAGGCAGGGCAGCTCGCGTCGGCATTAGGAGTAGTTAGGTTAATTTGCTTGAGATATCTGCCACAAATGAAAGAACAAAGCCACACAGAAGCCCCCCAGAACGGAAGCGATGCTGCAGCTGGAAGCATTTCCCAGGCACAAAAGTATTTTCCACCCAAAATAAAACCAAACATTTCGTGTGGCACACTTTTAGGGGCAGAATTAAATCTGTTTTATGCTGGGGGCAATCACTATCACTGGCCTGGCCCGGTGTCTGCCTTATAGTGTTATTACAAGTAGTCGCATAAAATTTTAGAAGATTTACCATTTGGGTAAAGTAAGAGAATGGCCGAGAATGTTGGCTATAAAGCCGCTAATGGGATGAACGACATTTTGGAGATCCTTTATGAATGTATACTGGTATACTGGTCTCGGCTCTCATCTTAAGAGAGTCTTAAGAGGCTTGACACGTTGATGGAGGCCCAAGTCCCCTCAAATCTAAGGATAAATCATAGTTTGTAGACAATTTCCTTTATTTGATATCACTGCAATACGATCTGGACTTCATCTATTAACAGCAACCCATAAAAAGCCTATAAACTTTGGCTATTTCGAACCATTCGTCAGAAGGGATCAATGTCTAATGGCAGACCACAGTTTAACTAACAAAGAGTTGACGCTCTCTTTTTGCAGATAAAACGATACAGAAGTATATCAATAAGATTATATTTATATACCCATGAATGATGGCTGACACACAAAGACAATGGGCCCCTGTAAGAGCAGAGTAAATCATAATTTCTCAGAGCATAACCTTTGCTGAGTCAACAAGTTGAGGGATCATGACCGTGCCCCCGCCCACTTTTGATCCCTTGAGCTATGACAATCTTTAATCAGTTATATAGCCAAAATGCCCCGAACGCTGCCCTTACCATTTCCGCAATATAGATGACAATAGTTTCCGTTTGGGCCCCGTGTGTTTGCTTACCCAAAATCAACCCCCCGTCTGGGGGGAGGGTCTGTCTGTATGGCCAGGATAAACCCTCACTGCATGTATGTATGTGTGTGTGTGTGGGTGTGTGTGGGTTTTCTGTGTATAATAAACCATATCTATGTTTGCGCTACGTTCTGTGTGGCATGCATATGTATGAGTAGGAGTATGTATGCTTGCAGCAAATTGTCTTATGGCTTTTTGGCCATGTGCCTCGAGACGGCTCTGTGAAGTTTCTCGCCCTGTGAGCCGCCTACTACGCAAATATTCCGAGGCTTAAATGTGTTTTGCGCCGACTACGACTACGACCACGACCACGGCGGCCCCAAGTCAATATAAGGCAAATATCAAGCATACGCACTGTGGACGTGGATGTGGATGTGAATGTGCCGAAGCCCCGGCATAATGCATGAAAAATTGAGCATGTCATTGACGTTGTGTGGAATTGTTATATGTGCTCTGTGTCGATGGCGGCCTCTCGTCGACTGTTTACAGTCTAGGCACGTACCATAATGGGGACCTCGGGGCTGTATGTACAATATATGCAACATTAAGGGGAGGTCTTGACTTTGGCAACGGCTAGGGTAAACTTTTTAATCGGCCTGGCTTTACAGTGCCACAGGGTGCTGCCTTGCCCCCACCTCATCTCTCTCTTTTTGGGTGCTGTGTTGTGGTGTGTTTGCCCCACACCACACACAACACACAAATTGACGCTTTATGTTAATGCCATTAATTAATAAATGAAATATGACATTGGCAGTGCTGTTGAACTTGTTTATTCAATTTTAGCACGTATTAAATGAAAACTTTGTTGTGGCCAATGGCAAATCCGTCGTCCTTTTGCCATCGTTTGGGGTTAAAATGTCCATCCTGGGGCTGTCACTTATTGTCACGACCACCCTAATTGAATGGAATTGAATATAGTTTATAGGGACTTAAGTTTCCATTTAGGTGTTTTCCTTTATTAACATTTATCACACTAAACTACTAATGATAAAGAGTTACAAAGTTCTTGAGTTTCTTGTTTAGGTTTGCTCCGAAAAATTCCCATATCTAAATCTTGGCACAGATAAAAATTGTTTTAGCTACAAGTTGTACCTTAAAATTGGTTAGTTTTCAGTTTACAGTATCGTTCTTTTCTTCTGACAAATTTTGTTGGTTTTCTTTTTATTGGCACACAGATATGCGTTTTTAATGTATGTTTATTTGATGCAAATTTTCATTGGTTTTATTATTCGTTTCGTTCGTTCGTTGGTTTTTTCGCACCGAACACAAATGGCGAACATTTATTGGTTTGTGGGAGTATGTGGTTTTTCTTAGTGGCAAAATTTATATCTAATTTATTTTAATGACCTTGAAAGAGTGAAAAATTTGTTGTAGGACTTTAGTTTGCTTCATAATATATGCTAATGTTTTTCTTTTATTGCATTTCCTGGCAGTTTATTTTGTTTCGTTTTCACGGTTTTTTTTTTGTGGCTACATTTTTGTGGGCAAAACGCTGAGTTGAGCAGTACATTTTCCTTGGCTTTTCCAATTCGTGGCAAACATTTTATAGTCAAATATTCTGCTCACATTCATCAACCATTTTTATGCATTTTTTTCTCCAATTTTGTTTGATTTTTCAATGACTTTTGGGATTATTTATTCGTATAACATATTGTTCGAAAATTTGTTTTTGCATTTTTGCCTTAGATTTTTATCATTTATTTGCTTTTAAAAGCCTTCATTTATTTATCATACTTTTATTGTTTCCATTTTTTATTGCAAAAACAACAATATACTGACGCTTTTATGTTGTTTTTCTTTGATGTTTTGTTTGTTTGCCCTTTCATTAAGCTTTTCAAATATTTCATAAAACATTCTGTTTATTAAAGCTGCTGCTGTTAAACGATGCGTTGTTGTTGTACTGCCTGCCGCCGTACCATACTGCTTGCCATTCGCACTATTCGCAGCGGGTTAACATGTAAATCCCGTCACAGAGCGTGACAAAGTGTTTGCCTATACGAAAATTCTCTGAATAATAACAAAGGAGTGACTACAGAGTGGCTTACGATGGGAGATTTCGGTTGAATAGAGGTAGTGGCTTTAATATTTTGCAAGGACTTTCCGTCGGTATAAAACGCATCGTGAAACAACAGCTGTGCTCTTCCATTTGCCATTTACCATTTGCCCTTTGGTCTTTTCATTTAAATGCTTCATGCTCTCGTTTTACTGGCGCACGAAACCTTTGTATTTTTGTAGAATATTTTTGTTTTGCAACTAATTATATGTACACCTAGCTCTGCCTTTGTTCAGAGTTTGCATTTCTATTTAGTTTAGCTGCACTTTTATAATGAATTTCTAATGGTTTACCAATTGTCTCGCTTATACTAATTTCACTGCTGTTTGTTTTTTTAACTACAACTACATAGTAAAATTCATATCCAATATTGGCGGCCATTGTTCTTGAATGTAATTTATGGTGGATTACCGCACGGCTCCTGTGATAATTTGCAGCATCAATTAATTATGGTTATCATAATGGTAATCATTATTATTTCATATGCCTCGTTTCGGTTTCTGTTTTTGCATCGGTTCGATTCGGTTCGGTTCGGAAAATAAGGCTCATTTCACTCACTCAATCAGCGTGGCAAAAGTAATTTTCATTTTCATTGCGTTACGGTCTCTTTCTCTCTGTGTGTCTCTCTGTGTGTCTCTCTGTGTCCGATGTTTCACGCATCTTAATTATGCATTTTGTATACCTGTATATGTTATTGAAAAATAAAGTACTTTTACTCCGGCAATCAGCACTCGGCACTCGGCACTTGGCACTGGATCTGGTCTCTGGATCTCTGGGTCGCTCCGGGTGCCGCCTCAGGGCAGACATCTTTAATGGTTTCGACCTCACATATTCATATACGAGTATGTAATGTGTGTATGTATTTTGTTGCTGTAGTATATATAGATTGGTAATCGGTATTCGGTGGTTAAATTGTATGCACGTTTATAAAATGGACCATTTGAGAAGTTTCTTTTTTTTTGCGTTCGATTCGTTTCGATTCCCCATGTGAAGAAGTGCCTCATAAATATTTATGTTCTTGCCATAATTTCAATGCTTGTTTTCTGTTTTGTTTTGTTATTCGTTTTTCGTTTTCCATTTATTATTTTCAGCTTGAGACACCCGATAAAGCTTTTCCGTCTGTCTGCTATCCCTATAATATATTCATATGCTAATGAGTAAAAATTTTATCCTAGTGTAATGAATTCTGTGTGTGTGGTGTGAATTTTTTTAAAATGCGATTTATATAAGGGAAAATTCATTGAGTTGCTTCTCCTTGTTTTTTAAGGTGTGAGTGTGTGGGTTGTGGGGGTGGGAGTGGGTTTTCAACGATTTCCACATTCCGTTTGAGTTCCCCGCTGGAGTATTAGTTTACATTTCTAATGGAGCTACGACAAAAGACTAGAAGAGATCTGACAAATTCTGAATTCGATTCACGTAACATGTATGTGGGTTGGGGGTGTGGGGGTGTCGTGGGTGGTGGACTACTATAATACCAAAAAATAAGTTTTATAGGACCCAATTGGGGTGCATCCTACATTCTACATTCTAGATCCTACACCGAGGTGGTGATTTGCTCCACAAACTGCACGGCTCCGGGTCGACAAAGGGACTGGGAACGCTTCAGACGGCACTGTGGATTGCTTCGCATCGTCTGGCATCCTCCTGCACCTGCTCCTGCTCCCGTTGCTGTTCCTGGTCCACCCGCTCCCTGGCTATGACGATGTGGCGTTCTCTGAAGCGAGGCATAGGCATGCGGCACGTAGATGAACTCACGGGTGGGACCTGGACCTGGACCTGTGCCTGATCCACTGGCCTGTCCATGCCGGCAGTTACACTGCTGCGACATGGTGGATAAGCCCTCGGGAACGCTGCGGCTGCGAGTGGAGTTCGCTCCACCTGCCATGTGTCCTCCGTAGGTGGTGGCTGTGGTGGTGGTGGTGCTGGGACTGCAGGTGCATATCAATGCCTGCCTGTCCTGGGATCTGCAAGAGCCAAGTGTAGCAATTTGAAGGTTTTAGGCAAAGTGTCAACACACAGAAACAGCGGGCTGTCTATCGAGGGGCTTGCTTTGGTTTGGCTTGGCTTGGCTGGGCTTGGCTGGGGGCTTGGTTTGTGCCTCATAAGGCCACGAAGCCCGTTGCTAAATTGATTGTGTTTCTCTATGGTTTCTCCCTCGCCTGATTGCTCTCGATTGTCTTGCTCAACGGGAAATCTTTTAATTGGTTTTTGATTGTTTCGTTTCGTTTCGACTCGGCATTGGATGCCACGTTCTGCGAACTTCCCCCCATGGAGTATTGATTAATTCACGAGCTTCCACATAGTCGAATTGGTAGACTTTTGTAATGTTTTGCAAATGGTTAATCTATCTATCTATCGATAATTAATCGGCAGCGATAATTAATCGAGTTTCACATTGCACTCTATGGACGAATTAAGTTGCCTTTGCTATTCCCGTTTCTAGTGGCCAGCTGCGGATGTGGATGTGGATGGTAATCATTTAGTAAAAACGTTCTCCTACCCGCTTAATGTGCACTTTGATTCACCAGTGGACTACCTACCAATACCAATGCCCCCACAGACAAACAGAGTTAAGACTCAAGGCAAGGGTTCAGTGCACACCGGCCAGGCACGACCCAACAACCACTCAATGCCTGGGATGGGCAGGCGATGCTCATTGCTCTCCAGTGACCGGCACCGATTAGGGAGCTCATTCGTCAGACTGCTACTCGCAGCACTGCTCGCAGCAGTGCTGGCAATGTGTGTACTTACTTGTTGCTCTTGTGGCAGCCCAGCTCGTAGCTGCAGTAGAGACCGTCGCAGCAGTTGTGCTGCTGAATGAAGGACAGGCTGCGCTGCAGACGCTTGCCCATGCGAGCCCCGATGCTGCCCTGACCCGCCTGATAGACGCCGCCGCGCACCTGCTGCATGTCCAGATTGTGGCAGCCCAACTGCTGTGGATGCTGCTGCTGCTGCTGAGGCGGACCAGGGCCATGTAAATGGGAATGGGAGTGATGGAGCTGCTGCTGCTGCTGTTGCTGCTGCATGTGGCGCTGGCAATAGTTGGCGCTGGTCTGCAGATACGGATCCATTTGATTGAGACTAATGCAGCTGCGACTGAGGAGATCTGGGGCCGGATACTCCCCATAGCCATAGTCCATGTGCATGTGTGGGGGCCGATGCAGCCTCGCCGAGGAGTGCCGCATCAGCATGGGAGTGGGCAGGTGGCCATTCAAATGTGCCTGTCCGCCGCGATGCTGATGCTGGTGCTGGTGATGCTGCTGCTGCTGCTGGTGGTGATGGTGGTTCTGCTGGTGCTGCGGTTCGCTGATAAAGAAAATTATGATGCCAGAGATGGCTGCAGCTGCGGAGCAAATATAGTAACCGGCACGACCGTATTTCAGGGAGTAATCGTTGAGGAAGGAAGTCAGTGGCACACTGATCAGAACTGGAACCGATTCCACGCCTCGAATGAAACCTGAAAGAGCACGTAATCGTATAGCCAATGGGAATTGGAGCAGCATAATCTTGTACCCACCCCAGGCCTTGGAGAAATGTTTCAGTTTGATGCGTTCGAGTGCCAAAATCTTCAAGGAGTACTGAAAGCCACCCAGACCTATGCCATATAGCCAGCTGAGGATGCACAGGCCCTTGTAGCCCATTACGAAGGACAGAAAGAGTATGGCCAGGGCCACAATTGATATGAAGAGCTGCGGAGAGACGAATTGGGATACGATTTCTGGCAAATATATCATTTAGTACCCACCTGTGTGACGATTTTCGTATTAACCACAAAGTGTCTGATCACAAAAACGCGACGCAGCAGGGCTCCAGCTATAACCACACCCAAGGCCATGGAAATGCCCAGAAATGTCTGCAATAGCACCAGCTCCTGGACATCAGAGCCCTCCTTGGCAGCGTTGAGAGCCTGCCACAGAGGAATATTTAAATAAATGATGCACCAATTACCAATTTCTTACCATCAGGAACATGGGCGTGTAAATGCCAAAGGACGCCACGCTGGAGGTCATTAACAGAATTTTAACTGTCACCGATTTCAGTGATGATATGTCCAAAAAAAGATATCTCGTGGGCGACTCCACTTCCTGGCTGAGAATCGGCTTCTTTTCCCTCATCTAAGTTGGTGGAAAATTGATTTAGTGATGAACTTTTTGTATCCATGGAATTCTGGCGTTTTAATTTACCTTCTTGCGCTGATTCTTCAAATGCTGGATGGCCCGTCGCTGGGGATGGTAGAGGGAGGCGGGTCGATACATGAGGCCCATGAAAAAGCTGAGTGCCGTTAGGGCGGCCACAATCTGCAGGCCCAGGCGCCAGCCGGCCTTGCCCACGCCCTCCTTGAGGATGACGGAGAACAATGCGATGCCCACCCCCTCACCGGACATGGCCACCATTTCGACGAATTGACGGCGACGCTTAAAGTAATTGCCGAGCATCACGGTGGATGCCTCACGCACCATGGCGACACCGATGCCAAAGACGATGCCTGCCAGGATTTAGTAGTGGAGTGGAGTGGAGTGGAGTAGAGTAGGAGTCCGTGCCGGGCACTGGCAAAGTTATTTATTTATACGCACCATAACTGAAAACAACCTGTCCAAATTCCGTGGCAAATGAGGTGAACAATATGCCCAGGGGCATCACCAGGCCACCCACAATGGAGAGCAGACGAATGGAGCGCTTTCGACACAGCGACACCACAAACGGTGTGGCCAGCATGGAAATTGACCAGCTCAGGGCGCCCAGGAGCTCTGTGGAGGGGCAGGCACAAGCGGCAGATGAAGAGGGCGGAGCATAGAATGGAAATTAAGCTTTTGAGTGATAATATTTTAAAGCAGAAAAGTCAACTTTGACGAAGGTCATTCCCCAGGTGGCAAACCAAGGTGAATTAACACATTTTAAGGGTGGTGCGAGTGCAGGCTGAAAAGTAATCTTTTTACTCGTAATAACTCAAAATGAAGGAGCACCAGGGAGCATTAAAATAAAATAAAACAATTTGAGAGTGGGAGAACTGTGGTCACAGCCTGTGAAATTGATTCTACGATTTTAATTGCTGTTTGGGATGGGATGTGTTAAATGTAATTAGAGTGAAAATGAAAGGGTTGTGTTGTCACATCCCTCTGTTGGAGTTGGGTGTGAGTCCGGATTTTATTGCTCGAATGGAAACAAAATTCAAAGCAGGAGAGCAGAGCGCTGCTGTAGCAGTAAAAGTGATTTAAATTTAGCTGATTTTTTAATGTCACATGCTCCTTTCGACTGGTTCCCAACACATGCTAATCAATAATTGAGTTTGCTATCAAAGCTTAAATTTCACAGAGTTATTTACAGCCAAACTAATTTTTGTTTGTAAAAATCTGTGCATTTATTCCGCTTGCGGATATATTCAATAGAGGAACTGTGGGGCCTGCACTGTATTTTCATACTGATGCAATTCGTATGCATCCACATTGCCTCCTCACGATATACCACTACAAATACCAGTGGAAGGAAGTACAAGCAATAAACAGTGTTCACACTGTACAGGAAGCGGACATGAAAATGTTTGTTAAGAGGATGAACTTCCACTTCTTCGGAATTCTTGTTATATTGTTGCCGTAGGAGTAAGCTAACACCGACTGCTGACAGTGGTCTTACACCTTGTTCAACACTTGCCTTTAACACAGGATGTAAACGAAAATCAAGCAAATATTCACACACACATCAGCACCCAGCACACAGCACACACCATGCCACACATCGAAATATTATTCAAAATATTTGCATTTTCCATATGCCCTGTAGATGCATGCAGACAAACATTTTGATTGCTATTCAAGGGAGTCGATGTCGATGCAGCCCGAAAGGCCCAACTCAAACTCCAGAAATGTGCGGAAAAACAAGAAAATAACCAGGAAAACCAGAAGATGCCGAGGAAAACTGGCAAATGACTAGCAAAATACCACAATCAACAACAACAGTGGGCCTGTACCATGGCCAATGATTACACACTGCGATTAGGCCATGGCCATGGCACAGTTCTTAAGGGGCGCCATTCCGACTCCGACCGACCTCTGGGCCCTGACTTACCTATGCCACTGGTATTATGCAAATACTGTACGGCGTAGAACAACAGCAGGCCATAGCTCAGCTGCAGCCCGGTGGTTAGGATGTGAACGAGAAAGGACACGCCACAGATGATCCAGCCCCAGCCTCCATCGGGATAGAAGTACTGCAAAAAAAAACCACACAGCACGAAAAAAAAACGAAAAGAACAGTAGACAAATGCCGGCAATTACAGTTTGACATGCGAGTGGGTAGTGGGAGTGGCAATGAGAGTGGCAGTGTCAGTGGGAGTGGGAGTGGCAATGAGAGTGGCAGTGTCAGTGGGCGGACTCACCTGTCGGATGCGTGTGGTGTCGACACCCGTGCGCCGCAATGCCGGTATATTCCGATGGAGCATATGAAACTCCCGATCGGCCAGGGCCGGAAAGGCCGAGTCCTCCTCGTCGGTGATGTGCGGTGCTGGCAAATGTGTCGTCGGTGCATGGATGGGCATGGGCATGGGCATGGGCATGGGGATGGTTGGGTGGTGGCCCTCATAGCCTAAACATTCGGAAAAACAATCGAACCTCTGATTAAATGATGGACAAAATGGCAACCGGCCAATGGCCTCATTACTCACCAAAGTAACAGCCGCCATTCGGTTTGCTTCTTTGTTGCACCTGCTGATGATGCACCTGCTGCTGATGCTGATGCTGCTGCTGCTGTTGCTGCTGATACCAATTATCGCAGAGGCAATATTGTGGGGCATACTGCTGCTGATGCTGGTGATGCTGGTGATGAGGGGTGGTGCTGGGCGGTGGCGCCACTGCTGGGTTGTACATGTAACAGCAGCCATTCAAATTGGTATTTGCACCACCATACCATCTGGGAGGCGGTGGGGCAGGCAATGGCAATATGCCACCGCCACCGTGTCGACTGCAGGCGACAGGATGCTGTCCATGGCCTTGGGCCTGCCCCAGCCCCTGGTGCTGGTCATTGGTGGGCAATGTGGCATAGCTGCCAAAATTGTCACAATGCCTCTTGGCCGTTTGCAGGGGGAAACGCGGCAGGGCGGCTGCTGTTGACGGGGCTGTGGCGGCGCCACCAGCATGGCAGTGTGACTGCATTTTTGTTTGCTGTTCCCGGAGCTCCTGGAGCTGTTCAGTGGATAGGTTCGAGAGCCGGGGACATGAAACCCACCAGGCCAATGGCTGATTATTGAAACGACACTCGGTGCACAAATAACGTGCGGGGGTGTGGTGCTGCTGCTGCTGCGTCTGTGTGAGTGCCTGTGTCGCCTCCTGGTTCCGTATCCGTATCCCTTCTGGGTCTTGGTTATCGTGTAGATCCAGTTTCGGGGTCGGTTTCGGTTTCGGTTCTCGCTCGGTGTGCTCTCCCACCTTCGGTGTGTTCGTTGCGGACTTGTGGCCTTGTTTCGGATGCTCGCAGCTCAGATTGTATCTTCGTCACAGCGCACATTTGTTGCACAGCACGGGACTCCTATGCTTGGGCCTCACCAGACTCGAGTACTGTCTATCCTCCAATTGCCTCGACGGATGATGGGGACAGGGATGCGGCAGGGTACTAGTGGCACCGGCGGCGGCTGCTGTGGGCATCAATTGGGGACAGCTGCCGTACAGGGCGGATGATGTATTCGATAAGCGGCGATAGTATGGTATCCTATGCTCCATATCATCGCCACCAGAGGCTGCTGGGGAACCGAATGGCCGATGGCCTCCTCGTTGCTGCACTGTGGCTGCCGGCAGGCAGGAGGAGATGAGGCTCCGGTTATCTCTACTATCACTGCAGTTGCAATCACATGTGCACTGGATGACCATTGTACTCCTTCCGCTCCGCTCTTCTCAAAAAGCTTTTACTGCCTGCGTGTGTGTGGGTGTGTATCTGTGTGTGTGTGTGTGTGTGTGTGATGTCAACTTCAGTGCATGCGGCGGCAGCAGGACATTATTTTCGAGGCTGAGGTCTCGGTTTCGGCAGGGGTTTGTTTTTCCGGTTCTGTTTTTGGGTTTTTCGTATTTCTAGGCAACAGCCACCAGCCGACGACTGTAACCATTTCGGGCCATCTCAAACATTTTAGCAGCCAAATACTGAAATTGAATAGAAAATAGGGGTTAGAGGGGGGCTATAGTGAGGGTTAGAGTGGGGGTTAGAGTGTGAGCTATAGTGGGGGCTTGGGATCCGTAAATAAATCAAATCAAAATCAATTTGTTTACTCTACAGCCAGGCGCACACAAAACAAGAAGCATATGCAATGCATAATTCAATTTGCTGTTCAATTGCGTGTATTCCGTTGCCTGCCACAACACCAAGACCTAGCCACACCACACCACACCACAGCACCGCCCACAAGAGCGCAGTGGAGAGTGTGAAAAACGGATTAGATGATTGGAGTGCAATTCTGCGGTCACTCAGGCATAAGAATTAGGGCACATTCTGTGCTGCCGAGCCGGCCCACCCAAGGGGAGTGTCAATGCAATTTTTAGTTCAATTCGATAAATATTTAAACCATCTGAAAGAGAGTATGAAAAGTGTCTAGCTTGTGAGTATTTTTCAGGAATTTATTGCTTAAATTATTCATATATTAAATGAGAAATTTACTAAAAAATGTGAATAGTTAGGGTATATCAAAAGTCCATCTATAATTCCGCTGTGCCCTTAAGCCCTCTGCTCTTATAAAGGACCCTTATCAAAGTCAACCCATATGCAAAATTAATGTCGAAATTTGTATGGGAATTATGGGTTCTTAGCTAAATAAATTTTGCCAATCATTTACGCATTAAATATTGCACAATACACCAATCTCCATAATGATTATTATTAGTTCAATAAAACAGTTATGTGGCCGCGGGTATTATTGCGAAAATGTTTTAGCGAAAAAGCGCATTCAAAATTTAAGCTGTAAAGAGGGCGAAAATAATCATTAAAATTTGGATAATAAATACATATATGAATTCATCGTTTGAAGTCTTTAATATGCCAGCAAATATCAAAGAAAGATTTGGAATAAAAACTTTAACGCAGAATAGGAGTGCTTGAAATTAACTTTTTAAGAAAGAAAAAATATAAAAATTTGATTTGAATTCGAAGCATGAATTTTCCCAGAATGCAGTCACTTGTAACTCGGTCTGAGAGCTCCCAAGAAAACTCTTTCTGGAAATCTATCAAGAAAATATGCCGGTACTTTCCTACAGATGTTGGAAATCCCTTTAGCGCCGGACACACGAGGGCAACACTAGACTTTGTGGGGCTGCCGGGAGAAATTTCCTTTCTTGAGAGCTTCTTTTTGCCATAAAAAGAGAAATGCTAAAAAAGGAAATTGCGTTAGTTATCCTCTGGTTGCTCTCTTCTCAGTGAATTCATAAGCTCCACAAATCACAGCTTTTTTTCACAGCATTTCGCAGCTAAAGGCATTCTCTAAAGACCTTTGGTATCATTATTTTCGGGAGAGCGTCGACAATTTCAAGAAGTTGCAATGAAACATCAAGTGTCTCTCTGTCTGCCTGTCTGTCTGTTTGTGATTCTGTCGCAGTTTACCGAAACTTGATTGATTTATGTCTTTATCGTTTCTCCATTCGGGAAGAGCAATGGAGGAGGCGATGCTATCATTTAGATTAGTCCAATGTTCCATTGAGGAGCTATAAAAATGATAAATGATCTGATCTGGAGAAGAAAAGCCAACGAAAAGCCAACGAAAAGCCAACGAAAAGCCATCGAAAAGCGAAAGCACAGTCACAGGGAAACTTGCATCATTTTGCATCAGTCTTGCAGGAGGAAGGAACTTTGCTTGCGCCTTCTGTGTACCCGTGTGGCAGGCAGCAGCAGTCAGCAGGCAGTATGGCGGTAGGGCAGCGCAGTTGGCCCAGTTATCCCCGTTTTATGGTTGTGCACATAACGATTTAGCCAAAGAGAATTTTACAATGCACAGAGGCGCATTTAAATTGATTGTAAGCAAGTGAGAAGCAGGGGAAGTGAAAGCGGAAGGCAGCAGCAGCAGCAGCAGCAAGAAAGGATGCCAGGAAGCAGTCAGGAAGGACCACCAAAAGGATGGAACATCAATCAAAAAAAACCTCGCTGCAATGGAGCTCAAGCAGGATGTAGTAGTAAGAGGTAAGGTGATGCTGCTGCTGCTGCTGCTGCTGGTGCTGGTGTGTGCCATGACTACTACGAGTATTACCTGTGGAAACATAAAATTTAACAACATTGTTGTAGCAAGGAGCAAACAAGCAATCCATAACGATATCCTCTTCTATCCCTTTACCTCTCGCTCTCTCCCTCTCGCCCTCTCTCTCTCTCTTTCTCTCTGTGGGAAAAACCCAAGTGAAAATATTGCAAAAATATATATATTTCTCCATATTTTTTTTTTTCATTCTTGTGGACGTTTCCCCAGCATTTTGTGGCGCTTCCCTTTGTTGTGGCTCGTGAGCCCCTGGACTCCTGGACCCCACATAGCAATAATATCCTTTGGTGGCACTTGCTCACACAAATTTCAATGGGCCGGTCGCCACGTCAGCAGTTTTATGTTCTTTAAAATGCAATATTAAAATGTAAATGCCATAGGCGGATGTCGTCCGCGATGACGAGCACGATTTCAATATGGGGCCCCAGCTCTTGTCCCAAATCCCGATCCCATGACCACACCACACCCCCCTCCTGCTGCTGCTGCTGCTCCTCCTGACAGGCGGCTGAGTGTTGACTTAACTGGTCATTGACTTTAGCAACTGCAACTTTATGCTGCAGTCGAAATTCCACACTGCATTTCGTTATTGTAGGACATTATTGGGACAATACCATTCGGCAATGGCATCACCGAAATGGAACAGATTGAGACCAGCCATAAATAGTTATGGCATTGCATTTGATTCTCTGTGCAGAATTCAAATCAGCCATCCCATTGTTCCACGAGCTAATTCTCGAATGAAATCGCTTATGTTGTCGCCATATATTGAGGCAATCAAACTTAAGTGGAGTTGTCTGCTGGCTGGACTGTGAGCCGGACGTACTCGTCTTTGGGGCTTATTTCTGTACAGAACAGATTAGATTATTAGATGAATACAGATCGAAAATGCTTAATATTTTGAGCAACCTTTCGAGGATCCTTTACGGACTGCAGTCTACTAAATAATTGTAGTAACTATTACGCCTTTCCCTTTATAATTATTATTTGTTATGAGAGCACCGAAACGCACTGTACACGCACACACAAGCCACCAGCTGCCTTCGTGTGTGTGTGTGTGTGTGTGTTGTGTCAAAAAAAGGCAAACTTTTATTTGCAAAGGGCAGTGGCGGAGGAGGAGTGGGCGTGGGCGTGGACGTGGACGCAACGAAGAAGGTGAGATTTAACTGGATCCTGGGTCACTCCCGGGGCTTACTCTGCTGATTAAACATATGCAACAAAAAGGATACAAAAAACACAAAATGTGGTTCAGCCACATAAAAATTATTTAAACTTTTCTCGCTGACGTTTTTCCAACGCGTTCACCCTTTGGCGGGGTGTTTGTGTTCCCACCGACTGGCAGATAATGGGTATCATATTACCTCGGGGCTCTACATTTAGTTTTTTGCACTTTGCATTGTAATAAACACACGACAATATGCGACAACACCCCAGAATAAGCAGCAGCAGCATCAGTGGCATCCACAGGAGACAGCAAGAGGACCAACAGCAGAATCACTGGCATCCACGGGCAGCAGCAGGAGCAGCAGCAGCAGCAGCAGGAGCTGAATCAACACCCTTAAATAAAAATAAAATGCGCGAAGCGAAAGAGATCATAAAAAGACAAGAACTTTGCCGCAGTGTGGGGTTGGTCCAGAAATGGTATTTCCCCATGGGAGGTGCAGCTTTAATGGTGTAACGGCCACAGCTTAAAAACTTCTTGAATTAAAGTCAATTTAAAAGGATTTTGTAGACGAAACTGTAGAATCTGTCTGATGAATAGAACCTCCATGGCCCGAGTTTCGAGTGTCAAGTCGAAAGACTTGAAAATAGTTTCCATGTTAGGATTACACACATCGCCCATCCAAGGACCATTCATACTACTCCCCTTCGAGTTACCAACAAGGCCCCAGAGTACATTTATACATATGTATGTACCACACAAGAGTCAGAACTTTGACATATTTCACCGCGAAACTAGCGAAACTGTTTGTCAGAACACAACTACCGAATTGGCGGAGATGGCTTTTCGTTTTCTTATTCTGTGCGTTGTGTTGTGTATGTAAAACTTTTACAGAAAAAGGATACGAATTTTGATGTCTTTTTGTTGCTGGCCATAACGACGAGCGACGAGAGCGAGAGCGAGTGTGTGTGGAATTTGTTGGCAGTCCCCAGGGTGAAATCATTTTCAATGCAGCCTCCGGCAAAAGGATATATTAATACTTTTTTCATTTAGACTTTCCCAGACTTTTGCCAAAATAAAAAGTTCTCAACTTGACCATTTCTTGCCCACTTTTGCTGGTGTCTGGAACTTTGTGCATGCATATTTTATGTGGAGACCAGAGCCCCACCTCACTTTCATGAAAGAGTTGGCCGAAAGGATGGCTAATGGATTTATGTTTTTAGCCAAATACACGGAATTAAAACGTGTCCCCAATAGGCCAGGCCAGCCAATTTGAAAGGGTCAATGCCCCATAAATAAAGCAAAAAACCCTCGAAAGTGTTCGGCCTTATCGAAAGCCCAACGAGCCATGAGACCTAGCTCAAAAATCGTATCACAAGCATAATTAGGTTTAGCGAGTAAAACTCCAGATTATTTTCGATATACATTTTTAATGCCAACCTTGCGAAGACCTCAAAAATTAACCACACCACACAAATTGTGGCCCCCAAAAAGCACTTGGGGCTTGGGGCTTCCTGTCTCTGAGGCGTGAGCCTCATCGCATCATAAAGAAAAAAAGTTAAGCCCTTCTTAGCTGAAAAACGACACTTTCCTTCCGTATATAAAGTTGTATATGGAAAGAGGACAAAAAGGGTCGGAACGGAACGGAGCGGAGCGGAAGGGCGGAAGTCAAGCATCGTCTCGTCTCGTCTTGGCCCGGCCTAAAAACAATGAAAATTACAAGCCATCCGGGGACCAGGGAGAGAGAGAGA